CGCGGCGCACCGCTCGGCCTTGGGCCTGTCCTTCGCACCCCGGGCCACGCTCAATTTCCGAGGTCGGGCCCCCGCGCCCCGGGTCACGCATTGTTTCGCCCTTCCCTGGCGTTGCGTAACCCCATCGCGGCCGACCGCGATGATAAAACACAAAAACAACCTGTTGGATGGACGCACCAGGAATGCGCCTTCGGACGAAATCGCCGAAGATCGGAGGAATGCAGTGGCCTGCTGGGATCGTGCGGCGTAACACAGGTAGCGGACCCCCGGCCCCCCGCGGAATTAACTTACGAGCCCCAAGACCGACGCTCTCTCACCACCTGGCCGACAAGCCACAGCCAAAAATACACAAAAAAACGCTCCGAATGAGAAACATTCCTTCCTACAGTAATGCACAATTTTTCCAAAATAAGAACCTCGAAACCGGACAGAATTGTGAAAATCCTTTAGTGATGCGCTGGAAAGCGGACGCAGATGTATGTTTTTGTATAAACTGCATTTTAACTGATTTTAATTTAAAAAGAAGACCAACACCGAAGAAGGGTATCTTTGAAACGAAATATGTAAACAAATCAGTATCAACCACCTGTGAGCTTTCAAACATTTGATGCTTTTATTAACCCTTAAAGGAAACAGACGTTTAAATATTTTCAAAAATTTTCTCCACTCTCCAAAGAATTGAGAGACCCCCTGATTTGATGTACTGAGTCTGGAATCCGAACAGCCTCGACATTCCTGAGCCGCGGCACGAGCCTCCGCCTCCCGACCCCCCCATGGACCCCGACCGGCTATAAAAGGTGTTCGAAAATATCGTGTGTCAAAATACCGCGCTAAAGCAACACGGCCGCTGTCAAAATAATGCAAAGAGATAAATCATCAAAGGGACAATTACAGATTCCTGTTTTTGCTATAATCAGAAAACCGAAAAAAATATTTGGGTTATCGGCAGTGTGTGGCGACTTTGACGCAAACGAAACGGTGGTTTGACGTTATGGAAAAAAATCTCAAGAGACGAGACGATAAAAATTCGACCTGTAGTGACCTCCCATTGTAAAGTGTTTTTTTTTTACAGTGCGGGAGGTTCGCAACTGTCAAAATAGACAGGGATGGAAACCTGACAAAAATATAACCTTAGCCAACAATAAATTGTGTTTTTCTTTTTTTAGTTCAATTAATTAAGAAATTAATTGGCACAAAACATGTTCTCAAAGCTAATAAGCAAATAAAAAAATTGGACCCCACATCGGACAAAAATGTAAAATGGTGGTAAAACTAAGCATAACATCACTATGTAATAACAAAAAATGTTAAGAGCCAAATGTCGATTTGTTATTTATTGTAATCCTTTTGTAAAAATTAGAAAAACCTGATAAAAAGCTTTTTCATCGTATATCTATGAAATAAATGATGTTTTTCAATGCGAAATTGAGCCAATTTCGTGATTTTGATTTTTATTTACGGTTCACATAACCGGTAAAAATGCCGTAAAATAGGAAAGCGCCAAGTAGTTAAATCAATCAAGCATTTAAGCCTCCATTACAGGGCGATTGTGGGCCGATTTACGACTAACGACTTTTATTTTCTGTTGAATTTTTTTTAACAAATGATCGATTTGAATTTGTTAAGGCCCCTAAAAGGCACCTCATCTCTCAGCTAGTGTTCCACGGTCACATTCCGTGGCATGTGTGAGAGTGCGATGCACGCTCCACTGCACCTCCAGAATGCATCAGATAAATCAAGTAGGTACGCATTGTAGTACCATGGGCGTAGCCCCACGAAACTCACCTCGAGGACGTCCTGCGCCGTCTGCAAGTACTCCCGTAGCATGGCCTCCTGGATAGCTCTCCATTCCTGTCGGGGGTCTTCGAGTTGCGTTGACTCTAGAAAAATTAAATCAATTGAAATTCTTTGAATCATCTCGCAGGACTTCGATTTACTCCTCAACCTCAAGAAAAATACTCACGGGTTTGATGGTTGATGTAGTAGGGGCCGATCTGGCCATCGTACGCTTCCTCCCATCCTAATGGAAGCTCGTTTCCTATGCAATCAGCAAACGTTTGCGGTTTCGTGAACCTGGAAACGAAAAGAAAGTCAGAGGTGTGGTTCTCATATCATTTAAATATCGCAAATATTTTTACTATTCGTATCAATAAGACGCAATTTACGAATAAAATATTTATGGTGAGCTGCACAACATCCGGGACATTATAATAATAAATGAATAATTCATTACAGAAAAAATCTCAAAGTTAACAATCCAACCCTCGAGATTGCGTTATCACTGCCTGATAAGCGAAATATGTGACCCCGCAAGGTCGTTCCAGTTTTCGGAATTGTGAATTTTTGGCACGATTTTCAGTGGCGTCCGCCGCGCTCACCCCGGAAGGAAGGTCACGTGGGTGGGGGGTCGGTCACGGCCCCGTCGGCTGCGAGCTTCGTCTGAAGGGGGCTCGACCGTCACCGCATTCCAACGTTTCCCCGTCTTTTTCTCTCTTAATTATCTCACTCTAGCACGCATCATTCCTAAATACTATTCGAACAGAAAACGTGCGCTGACGCGCTCGTTACTCTTTACGATTTATTAGAGGACGCGGACTCTACACGGCCCTGCAAGCTGCAAGGACCCCACTTTTGCAAAATTTTAATTTACCGCCATTTTTGGGTGGTGGACACAAGTTGGCAACCCTGGCTTGGCTTACATTTTAATCAAATCTTAAATGTGTGTATAATTTCAATTCAGTTCGGTGGATTATTTAATTTTTCGAAATATAGTCCGCAGCTAAACTCATAGGTTTTTTCGTATAAATTCCAGAAAAGTGGAATGATAAGATGAATACCCTCTTTGAGCCAAAAAATTATTACAATTAGGTACGATGTTCATACACTGACATTTTCAGAACATATAAATAAAACTAAGGTGTTCACTATTTTGACTAAAATATTTTGGCCATATTTAACAAAATTCTCTAAAATTAAAAATTTAGCTTTAACTTTTGGCACTACTGTCAATAATCAGTGGTGGTAACACCACAAAAATACTGTGTCAATCACGTGAGCATTTGATAAAACACGTGAAAAGAATAAAATCCGTTACAAAGGGTTACAAAATAAGTACGTCTTGTGTGTTACCTAATTGGTACTTTTCAGTTTCGTGGCTGTTTTCACTAAATTTGGATTAGGCAAGTCGGGATTCGGGGTGGTAACCTAAGATTAAAATCCCCGAAGCCACACTTAAAAAATTGGAAAATTCGGCTTAAAAATCGTAATTCAAGTCAAAGCGTATGGTACGTGTTACGAATTGTTTTTTAGGCGGTAATATTAAATCAACTGGAACAAGTGCTGTTTTTGGGTCATGCATGTCTTAAGTTACATAACCTCACTTATGGGGGTTGTGCCGTGTTGGATTAAAAGTATTGCGATCGGCGTTCAATGGTCGTGGGTGTTTATTTCGAGTTTCGAGGGTTGGTGGAGGTTATGGCTAAGTATAAATCGCGTAACTAAATAAACACCGGTCTCGAATGTGTTCAAATTGTAGGAAAATGGTGTTTGTGTTGCGTTAGTCATTCGAGTAAACATTTGGGATTACTACGTCCACTACGCGTTGATCGCTTTGGAATTCGTCAAGGTCCGTCGTTTGCCGTCCTTTAAAGGTGCTAAACACGTCGAAATTTCTCAGCTAAATACGGCGCATCGAGGAGCGTTGTTGGCAAGTTATTCGAGTCCTAATTATAGCACACCGCGAGTTGTAATTTATTGGACGTCGGCCGGATTGTTGGAATTCTTTGCGCCGAGGCCAAAAAGCGCGGCTCCGGAAAGGAAAATTTCGGAAAGATGTGTGTCACTTTCTCCAAGGGGAAAAAGAATTCCCTTAAGGCCGGGCGTTCGCCAGATGTCGCTACGCATTCCAATCTCACGGCCACCCTCGATTTGTGGGTCAGCCGTGGTGCGGTGCAAAGTATGGCCTTGACCGAGGTCACCACCGGTGACTTGACACCACTCGTGCGATATGCGCATTCTTCTGAAACCCTCACGGTTTTGTTTGATTTTTAAATGGAAATTAAACGAGCTTTATTTATGTTTATTGCGATTCGGATTATAAAATTAAGCTACGCGCGCGATCCGAATCGGAGCTGGATTTCACAATTTTATGGTAATTGGTAGAGAGAGATAATTCCGTATGTGGAATTTTAATTGCGGTTATATTTAGATGTCGCCTCCTCAGGCTTGGACACTTTCAGCACTGACTTGAATATTTTTTATTATTTTTCATCGAGAATATTAACCGAACCAAACGATCTAGGCCAACTAAGTGAGGTCAGAGGTCGCTCTAATTGGTATTTTATATCAAGTGGCCATTGTATGGTAATGCAACATTTTATTTGTGCACAATAATAAAACGTCGACGTGTGTGTGTGTGTCAATTCGAGGCGTTGGGAGATTTGCATTTTAAATGGACTGACGAGATGGGCTCACAGCCAACTGCCCAATTTATTCACACTTGAGAAAGAAGGGATTTGCTTTTGTTTCTGAACAATGGAAAGTCGGGAAAAGTTGATTTTAAACGTGCTATTCAGTTACTTCATCTCTTGTAAAAGGCAAGATGGACGGCGAGGTTTTTTTTAAAAAGTTATGTGATCTCCATTTTGAAACAAGCTTTTTTCCTTTCGAATTCTTTTTAACTAAAAAACAAACAATAAAAACCTATGCTCTTGTGTAGTTTAAGCACTCTACTTTCTTCTATTTCAACCAGACATTAAAGCTTAAAGTAATCCTTTTTTTACAATAGGATCAAATTCCTGGAAGCCTTTTCTGAACAAATGAAAATCAACAAAAACTGAAACCCTACGTACAAAATACAGAAGTACTAACATTCGTTTGTTTCACTTCACGTCTTGTTTGAATAAAAATAGGGGATGATTTTCATCCCAAAAAATGAATTATTCATTTGTCATTTCATGAAACAGTGTGGCACATTCCTTTGATTTATGCGTACTACTCCCAAAGGTTTGTTTTCATTTTTTGGTCGATATTTTTTGCAATTAAAATCAGATTCTTGAGTTACTGAGAAATTTCTCTGTAAATGAAGATGGTGTTATAATCAAAATTTTAACATGATTATTTTATTTGGATCAAATCCAATATCGGTTGAAATAGTCTACGTTTTTCATTTGTTTTACATTAGAAAGTTGTGTTTAGTAGGACAAGTTTTTTAACAATCGCGGATCGAAAAAGTTGCAACCACATACATCATAAACAAAATGACTCTTTATTGTCTTTATTTGTCTGACCTAAGGTCAGCAGTTTTTTAGTTCTAAAACAACTCTAGTCTCTTATTCTACAGGGTGATCCAAGACTCTTACCACCAGTAGGGGGCTACTAGAACTACTTAATTTTTCTAACAAAAATTTTCGACTAGCCTTCTTTAGATCGTTACAGCTCTTTAAAGAATGCTACTTTGGTATATATTAATCAGGAAAGATAATTTTCTTTTATTCAATTAATGTTATTTAAAAAAATTGTTAAACATTTCCCTTGTTTTTTTTTTCAGAATACGTGGCTCCTAAAATCCTTTTTTCTAGTTGCATTTGAGCTATTACGTTTTTGAATTACATATGATTTATTTCAAGTGTGATAAAGGGCATAATGACCCAGTGTTTTTCATTTATTTGGCCCAACATCCAACACGAAATTCAGATAGGTCAGTGACAGCAAAAAGAAATAAAATGCAACTCCACACAAAGTTGCCAGTAATGAATTTTATCACAGCGAATATTTAAAGCGTTAGTCAACTTGTTTCGAATTTTTCTTTGTTCATGGTTGCTCTTTAAACAATCGAAAGTTGGAAAAACTTGAAATTCCTTTGTTCCACGTTCGGGTCTCTCGTGTTATTGGGTTCTGGTTGTATCCTCACTTACAGATTTTAATGAAATTATTCGCGTTATTCATTTGTTCTTGACGATTTGATAAGATTGGGTTTCACACAAACGTTATCACTTGTTTTTGAACGATTTTACCCACTCTTCTAGTAGAAGAAGTAGTATTTCATTTCCTTCAATTGTTTCTTGTCGACAAAATTAGAGGAACGTCGAGTTTTTCCAAATTTTCAGTTTGTAATGCGAAATTTATATGGTAGGTCAGTGACGACGGAAAAGTCTTTTGGAAGATAATCTGATATGGATTTTTGCTCGAAATTTTGTTTAGTAGGTTTTGACCTATACTCATTTTTCCTTCTTCCGAGATTCTTTTGTTTTGTAGTAGGTTTAGAGGAAGGTTTGTGTATTTGTAATGGTTTCGTGGGGTCGTCCCTTGTGGAATGGTTGTGTGTAGTGACAAGTGGAGTGAAAGTGGTCAATGCACCGCTGGGAGAGATGAAAGAGGAGGAGTAAGAAACTCGCATAATAGCATTAAAACAGTGTAATTCGTGCCACTTTTGATGGTCCTTAGAAGGTTGTATTTGGGGCACAATGATAGATAAGCTCTGCATTCCATTGGTCCCTTATCGGAGCTTATCCGATAAGAGTCGTCAACAAGTGCATCGCATACCTTAATCGTTAGTAACCCTCGCTAGACCGCTTGGCGTCGCGACGCTATTTCCAGACGCCCCTCGCATATTTTTAGCAGCCAAAGCGAAAAAACGCGCATTTTTCCCGTGTGTGGCAGCACAATCACCATGTTTTCCAGCACAGACACTCGTTTCCACCTCGCGGGAGGCGCGCTTCCGCTTCCCGGGGGCGCCCGCAGGCCTACCTGTCTCGGGGGTCGATCCACGTCGTTTTCTTCGAATTATGATCTATGAAGTATATCTTGCCGTCGTAGTCCCGGCCGTAGTCCCAACCTTCGGGCAGAGGCAGCTCTCCGTTGCGTTTCCGCGGCATTATATGCGAATTAATCCATTCAAAACGACCGCAACTGGCACACACTACACGAACCACTCGGCCATGTTGAATACCACATTATCATGAGCGGTCGCGCTCTGACGTCACCACACTGAACACCAATCGCCGACGAGACGAAGGAATGCGGCGCACTTGTGGACGAGGTGAATGGGGCGCAAGACGCCCGAGACGCTCACCACCGATGCTCCAAACAACACGAAAATGAACAGCGAAACGCACGAAATGCTCAGGACGCGATACCCAGATGGTACACTGCGGTCGTGGCGCAATGGGCGATGGAATGCGATTGGAATGCGACAGGGGCCGTCCCACAGTCCACATTCCACAAAGTTTAATAGCGCCTGAATAGTTCGCATAGTTTTTACGAGGTGGAGGCAACGGTGCACTCGTGAGATATAACTAGTTTTAGAACACGTGTACGACATCTGTACTTACGACGTACAACCAAATGGAGATAACTGTCATCTTTAATACCATTTTGATAAATCATTAATAATTAATTTATTAATAATCGAGGCAAATCAACAGGAATTGGGTAACCTTAATAAAAACTCGGTTGGCAGACTGATTAATGTTGATAAACATTTGTAATATGCTTTGGAAAAAACATCACTTCCTGAAATAAGTAAGTATGTGTAGAACAATAATGAATATTATCAGATTGCGTAAGTGAGTAAACAACAAATCATTGACTTTGATCATAAAAATATTTTTCAGTTGACATCATGTACTTAAATGTGCCACTTAAAAATATTATCACCCGTTATTGTTAAAAGTAATAACAGATCACGGCAATCTTTACGGCCAAATTAAAAGGATTCATAGTTATTTATTATCTACGAGTGAAAAGAAGTTTACGAGTGATTAAGTCACAAGTGGACTTTTTTCAGGAGTAGATAAACAATCTTTATCGTCATGTATAATATTTCGTTTTATTTTGTACTCGCCTACCAGAATATCTTGTGTCTGGTTGATGAATACACTGGTCAAAGTGGAGTAGATAAAAATTAGGTACTTACTTTATTTCACTAGACGATAAAAGACTACTTTATCTACTGAAATTAGTTGATAAAAGCACTCTTTAACATTGAGTACACAATAATATCTTTATTTTATCCACAATCACTCTACCAGGTGAATAAAAAGTATGGAACCAAACGTTTTTTGCTTCAACTATTTATTTTTTGAAAAAACTAATTGATGAGTGCTAAAGTACTATAAAAATGTGATGATTTAACAAAAATAAAATTTTTCGAAATTTCCTTTTATTTTTGAGTTCTACAAAAAAAATTATTTTTTTAAATGGTAACCCACTATAAAATCATTTTTCTCATAAAAGATATACTCTAAGGATTACAACTATCTGCTTTATTTTTAATTTTTTCAAAAAAAATTTTTCACATAAATTGCAATTTTGACAAAAAAACTCGCATAACTCAAAAACAAAACAAAATTTCGTTCTGAAATTACGATCACATTTTTTATATTACTTTAGTTTATATTAATTATTATTTTCCGGAGGCAAATGATTAAAAATAAAACCGCTTGGTTCCATACTTTATACCCTGTATAATAAAGAGACTTTATTCCACAATTTAGATACGTATCAAGTATAGTTCTTCTAGAAATAAGTGAAAACAGAGTCAATTGCTTTATGGATGTAATTATCTTTGATAAACCCACAGACGGCTATCGGCGGTTTTAACCCTCAATAAAAATATCTCCGAACTTAGCCAGCTGGGCTGGTTTCCAGGGCCGTATTCAGTTTATGAAAAGCTTTATGTATGAAAACTAAGCTATTCAATAGCTAATTTTAAATGCTGCGGTTTCTTTTTCTGTGCAGCTTTTAATAAAAATGTTTTTTTTTTTTGTTGTTGTTAACAGTTTTCTCGACTCGAACAATTTCCTGAGTCCGCCTCTGCTTGCAAGAAATCGCAACATTTTGACCTGCTGGGTTTTTAACAGTTTACCCAGCTCTTAGGGTGCAATAAAGCAATTGAGTCTGTTCTCACTTATTTCTAGAAGAACTATACCAGTTTATCCACTAGTGGTAATAAGTAAAAATTTTGAGGCTCATTTTTTTTAATAATTTTGGTTAAAACGGGATCCCGGTATGGTCTTTTCTTTTCATTTATAGACAAAAGTTAATATTTTAGCGAAATCTAAAAAAATCAAATCTTGGCTATTATAGAAGATACGGATTTTAAATAAAAACATTGTTCTGGTTCTCTTACGTAGAATTTAATTATGCAATTAACATTTTTTAAGTTATTTGTTTAGCCGTAATAGTAATAAGATAAACTTGTATTTTTTTTTAATGAAAGTCGTAGGTGGCTACGGCAATTTTAAAAAACTTATTTTTTCTGATTTGATACATAATTCAGCTTGGCTCTAAATATTGTTTTCTTTCCCTTAGTATATAATTACTACTAATTAGATATATTTTTACAATCATAAATAAAAAATCAATTAATTTGTCAATTTGAACTCACACTGATAAAAGTTTAACATACGCTACACTTATTAACAAAAACAACAAGAACAATGCAAAGTCTGTGACAATTTAGAAAATTGGAAAATTTACGTTTTTAAAACGTAAAACTACTCGTAAGTAGGCATTTCCTTCTCAGTACAATATCTGTCTACTTAATAAGACCTACAGCAAAATAAATAAATATTTTTCATTTTCGTACAGTGGCGGACATGGAATTTTGGACATCAAATTTATGTCAATTCAAAAAATGTCAATGTAAGTCACGTTCTATTGTTATTATAATTGACATTTGAAACTAAAATTTGAAAGTTTTAGTTGAAATTTATTTTTGGCGTGGATTTTCGGAAACAATAATGCCAGCAATACATAAGTTCAATAAGCTGTTTTAATTTGTTGTCATTTTTTTCTCTAGTTATTAGGATAAAAATTATAAAAACCGAAAGTGAGCTTAGTTGTCTAAGGCCCCTTTCACATTTTTATGTCAGTCGAATGACAAATCGTCCAAAATTCCGTGTCCGCCAGTGTATGCAAATTATTATGTTATTGTAGGTTTTACAACATAATATTGAGAAAGACAATGTTGTTTCAAAAAAATGTTTAAAGCTTTAATAATTATAGTAAAGAACTAGTTTTTTGATCTTGATCGAAACAATTACAACTTATTTTGTTGTAATTCCGCAATTCCATTTTTTTTGAAATTTTTTTAAAATTCCCCTGTTATTGGTAACACGTATTCCCCTAAAGGACCAAACTAGTGACTTTCTTTTTGTGTCAAACGTCAACGAGGAAGGTTAGTGTCTGGTGTAATTATTTATAAAAATCTTAAATCATCCACCTAATTAATGGTATTTGAATTACCCAAATGTGATCTAAATACTTATCCAACTCTGCTTTATTAATTTTAACCAATATTTTCACTCAAAACACTACTGAAACACGGAAATTTTGATTGTGTGTCTCATAGGTTATGTTTCTGTTTCAGCACGATGAAGCAAATCGTGACAAGTCAAACGGTGAAAATCCCGGAAGGAATCACCGTACATGCTAAATCGCGTCTAATTACCGTCAAAGGCCCTCGTGGGGTCTTAAAACGGTCTTTCAAGCATCTCGCTGTTGACATTCGTATGATCACTCCGAGACTTCTCAAAGTTGAGAAATGGTTTGGAACCAAGAAGGAATTGGCTGCGGTACGCACAGTGTGCTCTCATGTTGAGAATATGTTGAAGGGGGTAACTAAAGGTTATCAGTATAAAATGAGAGCCGTGTACGCCCATTTCCCCATCAATTGTGTCACCACTGAGAATGACTCTGTTATTGAAATTAGAAATTTCTTAGGAGAGAAATATATCAGGAGGTAATTAGAAAGGTTAAAATATATCTGTTATTTATGTTTTTTTTTTTTTAGAGTTAAAATGGCACCAGGAGTGACAGTTAAAAATTCAGCCAAACAAAAGGATGAATTGATTATTGAAGGCAATTCACTTGAAGACGTGTCCAGGTCTGCTGCCCTAATCCAACAATCAACAACCGTCAAAAACAAGGATATTCGTATGTTTTTGGATGGTTTATACGTTTCAGAGAAAACAACTGTTGTGCAAGAAGAATAATCTTGCATTTAATAAATTTGTACAATAAGGTTTTGGAGGTTTTTATTATAAACCTAATTACACAATTACGTGTCATCCATTTTTTCAATTTTAATTCCACAAATGTCAGGCTCACTTTTTACACTAAACATAACGTATTTTTTCCTCAGCTCCTGTTCCTTGAAGTCATTAAAATCCTCTGGATGTTTCGCCCTTATATGCTTGTATAATAATTTATTAATTGTAAATCTTTTATCACAAATACCGCAGCCAAATGGCTTATCGCCAGTATGGGTCCTCCTATGTTCTTTGACTGTTGTACTATGGGCAAATCTCCGTCCGCATATATCACACGAGTAAGGTTTTTCCCCTGTATGGGTCCTCATATGACGGGTTAAATTTTCAACGATGATAAAACTTTTTCCACAGATGGTACACGAATGTTTTTTTTCGCCCGTATGTGTGAGCTTATGGCGCCGTAAATTCTGGGAGTTTGGGAATGATTTGGGACAGAGATCGCAATTATAGGGTTTGTAACCTGTGTGGGTGTTTTGATGCCGTCTGAGTTGGGCCGAGGTAATAAAGGTTTTCTCACAGAGAGTACATTTGAAAGGGCGGACTCCACTGTGGGTCTTTTGGTGGTTTTGCAAATAATACAAATTGTGATAACTTTTGCCACAAATGTCGCACTGGAATAAATTTTTTTCCGATGAGTGACAGTCCATATGATTTGTTAATTGTCTCATATTTTTCATCATTTTTGAACAGATGGGGCATTGGACTGACCTCCGAGTCATAGTAGTATCCTCATGCGATTTTTTGTGCTTTGTAAGCCTAGCTTTTGTCTTGAACGCACTTTTGCAAATGTCGCACTCAAACGGCCTTTCCCCTGAATGCGTCTTAATGTGGTCTTCCAAATGTGCAAATTGTGTAAATTTTCTCTCACAGGTGTCGCACTCAAATCGTTTTTCTCCAGTATGGGTCCTCATGTGTTTACTCAAATTGCCGTTAATTGAAAATTTTTTGCCACATTCTTTGCATTCGTAGGGCTTCTCCCCCGTGTGTCTTCGCGTATGAACATTCAATTGGGTGTTGTCACGAAACGATTTACCACAGGCGCAACATGAATGCGCCCTATCAGCCGTTTTGGTATTCTCATGCTCGTACAAATCAACCTCTGTCTCGAATCGCTTTTTGCAGATTTTGCATCGGTAATTCCCATCAGGTTCGTTTTCTGTTTTGGGGATTTCGGGGTTTTCCTCCTTAAATGTGGGAGAGGAGGGAGCGGCGTCGGATTCTTGCTTGATTATAAGCATTTCGGGGTCAGCTGGTTCAGATTTTATCGACATTGCACTATTTTAATGGTTTTCCATAATATCAAGACGTTTTTTGAGTTTTTGTGGTGAGTTTGGCAAGTGACAACATCTATATAACCTCACTTTTATTTTTCGCGTAATTAGGACGAGGTTTTAGTGGTTCGCACACAAATGTTTGAAATTAATCAATTTACACATATCTTATTATTGCACCCGTTACTTTTGTGTCCGAACCAGTTTTTTCGATTTTTTTTCATTTTTATTTTGCTTGAAAGGTGACAGTTGACAGAATGATTTAACCTCATTCACGATTAAAGAAATCCGGACTTCGCGAAACACAAAATATTTATTTTATTTGCAACACTTATGTAGAAAACTGATGTGTAATTGTTGTTATCCCCAGTTATATGGGAATAAGAGAAACAAAATAGTGCGTTTTTTTGTGCAATAGAAATCAGAGACGCTAACAGTGAAATTCGGTAAATTCGAAAACTAGTCATTTGTAGTGCCCCCTACATGATGGAAGGCGGCAAATTTAACTTCTGTTAGCCTTTTTTTGTAGGGTGTTGGACAGAATGAGAGGCGTGTTTATTCTATTTGTATAATTTAAACAAAATTATATTGAACAAGTATTATAAAAACAAAATTACAATTTGATAAATCTAATACAATGATATTTACATTCATTAAAATATAGACAAAATGTGATTAAAGTCTTAACGCCATGAGTTCAGAGTAAATATATTCAATCCGAGACTAGTCGTCGCATTTCCGTACACCATCTCACTATGAACGGTATTTTGTTTAAGTTTATATAAACATACATAATTTTTTCTACGATGACATTGATAGAAACGAAAAAAACATGAGTTATCGTTGTTTAAATACACACCAAATGGATGACATTGAAGGCCGGTGGTTGAATTAAAATATAGCCGCTGGTGTGGTAAGCAACTGAGGTCCAGGGCTGATTTGTACTTAACATTAGAAACATCTACGTACTGTCTAATTTTGGACCACCCTGTATTTTCTATTTTTTCCTGATAAGTCGATGATGAAGGGAAAACAATAAGTGACAATAAATAATGAATGGAACACATGGAGGGATGAACTGGGCTTAAGGACTTAGATCTACTAAAGTTTGTTCAAATATACATCATTTTTATAATAGTTACTTAGGTAACTCCAATTCTACTTAAGTAATACTCTGATTCAAGTATATATAAACACATAATTTTTCTATTCTATAAACTTTCTTCTTTTAAATACACATGAACCATCATCAACTCAATTATTATAAAAATAAAACTATTCTTTTATTAAAAGTTACAATGGAAAATGAGAAAAAAATAATACTGAAATTAAAACAATTTATTTACTGTGTATTCACGGAATAAATATGAACGTTGCACAATTCCGACATATATTCATACAAAAAACCCATTAAAACGACCTGAAAAATGCTTTATACAAAATTAATGGGCGCAAGTCTTTTAAAAAATTTGATACTTTACAGCTTTCGCTAATGTCTAATGATGAGATGATTAAAAAATAATTCTATTTGATCATTAAAATATAAAACAATATAGCTATATAAATACGCTAAAAATTATAACAATGATGGGATGCTCCGACACACAGTCTAGTCTGGCACATGAGTATCGAAATTAACACTGATATCACAACATTACTTGTGCAATTATGCACGTAGTTCCTTGCACTTTTTACGAGTATTGTATCGACCATTGGATATGACGATTACGTCCGAGACTCTTTTGTATCACAAGAATACCTTACAAGATGCAGCACGACGCCGAACAACAACTGCTGTTGCCCCCTTTGCTCTTTTGTCGTTGATCTGAATCACAAAAAATTATTAACTCACTAAGAAAATATTCAAACACATAGTTTGTTAATAGTGCGATTATTTATTATTATTCGCCGATTAACAAACATTTTTTTTATTTTCTCATCACCTTGCGAATTAGGCTCGGGCAGATTTTCTCTCGGTACTAGATGCATCACCGTTGTTTTCCCAAATGGCAGTCCTAGTGCTCCTAACGTTACGTTACTATGAAGAAAACGACCCTGATATATAAGTCGGAGGATTTCAGCCTTTGATACGGCTTCCTGACACCAATCTGGAAAAAAAATGCGTCAAAAACTTAATTTTCACAGGAAGTGAAGAATCAATGATAGCCGGTCGAGATTTGCATAAAAAAGTGGTACGGTTTACCCAGACCCACTTTTACGAATATCATTTCTGCATCACCATTTGCAAACGAAGGAATTGTTGGGTTTTAAAGAAGAAAAAATCGCCTGACGTAAAAGTAGCTGCTAATTATAGAACGGTCGATTTGGTTTCGAATAACATTGTAACACCTGAACGAACGTTTAATTGAAAAAAGCGGGTGTCACGGTGGGAGAGTCGACCGATTTTTGGCAATAAGCGGTTTTTTCCGTGCCATTCCGAATTTAAGGACAAATCATTGTTACACTTTTTGACAAAATTTCTCTCTACAATGTGTCATAATTAGATATAAAATTTACCAAAGTTTCTTTAGGCCAAAACACAGCAAGTAACCTAATACACCTCAGTAATATAATGTTTTCTTAAAAAGATTCAGGGTATTAATGAAAACATTTTGAATTATATAAGTTGAAAGGTAATTATCAGATTAATTAAAAACGCATTACAATATTAATTTATAGTAAACACCAAGAACAGAAGAATTATTACTCTAGCAAATGTTTAAAACGCTCGCCTCAAGAAACACCTTGTATATTTTTAAGGAAGCATTAGGTTAATTGCTTTGTACCTACTGCTCTAAAAAAGGTTTGAGTTGTAATAACTCACACTGTATAGTTCTGTTTTGCAGAGCTATCTCAAACCCACTATATTTTTCTGCTCTTTGTGACCGGAAAATCACTTGTTTATACAAATGATAAACAAATTTATTGTAATATGATAAATTTCGAATCGATATGATTTATTTATAAGTTTTATTTTACATTTCCTGTTATTAAAAAACATCTTGATGAATTACAAATAAACGAAATTTAAAGTGAAATATGTATTCAATTTGGTTCATTTTTTTGACATTTCTTATTGAATACAAGCAACACCCTTTGTAAGAGCGCATTTTGTTATTAAGGGGTATTAGGTTAATTGCTTTGTTTTGGCCTAAAGAAGCGTTAGTGAAGATTTTTACACATACAGGGTTATTCACGGGAGGGTTATTTCTGAATTTTTTTTTGCCGCAACCAACAATACCAATCTCACAAACTACTAAATTAAATATGTTATTTCTTTAAAATTACAAATCAAAGTAAGTTGGATAAATTTCCCAAAAATGTCAGATTGACAGATAACCTATATTTAATCAAAATTCAACATATCAATTAACAAGTTGAGTTAATATAAAAGGTGCTTGAAGTGTCTACCATCGACTTCTAAACATGCGCCTCGTCTGTTGGTAAACATAACAAAACATGTCGCATCGTTTGAGAGATATTTTTTTTACTATAATGTCACAGAGACAAGACTAATAACAGCTATCGTGGATTTAGTTATAATTATTTTCAAAATTTGAAATCAAGAAATTGTTGCAATATGTATAATGGGTTGCGGCAAAAACAAATTCAGAAATAACCCTCTCGTGACTAACCTTGTAGTAATTTGAGACCAATAGTATTGAATTTTAATTATGACACCCAGTATATTGAATTTTGTTATTTATCTTTAGTGTTTATAATTTTTTTCACTCCAAAGGCTTGAAACCCATGATCTTAAGAGACTGTTTTTTATTTCGCTCTTTTGACCCAATCACATACAAAATCCGTTACCTTCTGGCCAGTTGTCGAAGACATGTTGCGCAATATCCCCAGCTGAATCGCTTGGACTGAAGAGGAACTCTTTTGTCTTCCCGCTGACGAGGATCAGTCGCAGGTTTATCTGCAACAAAAGCCCGGAATCAACACCTGCTGCATCGCCGTAGTCCTTCAATGACACGTGACCGATAAAAATAAAAACAATAAAAAATATAGAAAATGTCACCAGACACTCCCTCACACACAAATAAAACGAATAAAAATTTTCCTTCGTCGACTGAAAACGAGCTTATTTACTTTCGTTTTGGTCGTTTTCTGGTTCGGATTTTCTTTTATATTCTTCGGTAATATCGTCCCAAAGTAATTCACTAAATCCAGTTTGTGCAAAACGATCGATAGCCTAATGTTTCGGACGCGTACAAACTCGGCCAGTTAGAGAACTTTTCATCGAGTATAAATCATGAACCCACTGTCGTCTTCGGAGACAATCGAGTGGAAAAAACACCGAAGTTTCATAAAATCATCATAAACGGGGCGTGGAAATAGTAAAAAATCTCTGAGTTGGGAGTAATTAAAGTGACCCGTAATTGTACCCGGCGAGGAGTAAAAACAATTTAATTTCTAGGTAAGCGAGCGATATATAGGAAGACCGTATTAAAAGGCTTGACCTAACGGGTTAAAACGCCCACGAAATGTCTGCGTGAAATTGTGGGAAGAACTCGATTCTTGTACGCGTCGGGAATTTTTATTAAAGACGACTTCCGCGATGAAAAATTTCCTGACAGGAGAAAAAAATTCTGTAGTTATGAAGGAGAGACGGTCACGCGAAAAGCGGGAAATGTCCACAGAGCACGAAAAGAAATTTTAAAATTGCAACAGTCACTCACGAAAAAAAACCGCTTGCTTCGACAAGGGTTCTGATTTGAATCATTCGCTCAAAAAGAAAACGATAAGACAATATTTTTGCAACTTTAAATTACATCTATGTGCCCACAAATTTACCATATATTTATCACAAAAACTAAATTCATTGTAATAATAATAAATGGCAAGCTGAGTCACTTGAGGATCTAAAATTTTAATTTCATAGGTTCTTTACTTATCCATCAATTAAATTAAACATGAATTAAGTCAAGATCCGAATAATTTCTTCAGGTTCAAATTTATCCACAAAAAATTAAATAAAAATCATAATCACTCTCACTGCTCAGTTTAAAAATAAAATAATTATGTATAGGTCTGCAGATCAGGAAAAATTTGATTCATCTGCTGAGCACAAGTTCAAAGACCAAGATCTGGATTTTTTTGTTTATATTCAGTTTCAAAATTTTCAATTTTTTTATTCAGTTCAGCTCGGAGCTCTTTCCTGATCGATTCGATTGCGAAGACCTCCCCCATTTCCAACTTTTCTGGTGAAACCGGGTCATTTCGTGCTTCGCCCACCGAAATATTATTTTTGTCCTTCGACCCCATGCACAATCCACCGTCAGGAATCGTCACACAAGGGGGTACATAAACTCCACTTGATAAGTGCAACGCGCTTTGCCCGGTTATCGATCCGCCGCCGGGGACTCCTCCCCTCTGACCCAGAACTAGGTTTCCTTGTGTCATATACGCCTCTTTTGCTTTTTTTATTCCCTCAGAAAACTCGCAAAATACAAATCACCGATCGTGTTTAATTAACATATCGTTGGTTCGATTCCGTCCCGTCTTCGCCTCCTTGCGGGCTCTTTAAAACACCCGGAGGGAGATTAATAGTATCGAATTTCATCTCTTCCCCTTTAGGGGTTCAAGAAACACGACATATTTCCTCACGACCACCCTCCGTGTATCGGATTCGACGGCTTTCGAATTACGTAGGAGACAGTTTGTGCATTTTTTCTCTCTTCTGTGTACTAGTTTATCGATTGGCATGTGCTGTGACACGCGTGTGATTGATTTAATTTTCGAAAAAGGGCTGGGAATTTTTTTTGAGACATGTGGCGTCGAAATTTTGACATGTTGACCCGTTTTCTAAGGCTTTCTCTCGTAAACGACGTGTGACATACGCAAGGAAGAGCGAAAATAACGGGTTATATTTAGATTGACGGTGTGTGAGGCGAGAGTAATGTAAATTTTTGTTTTCTGGGACGGTGCAGTTTGTTTACTATACGAAAATAAAAGAAAAATATCGCAGTATTTTCAAAAACAATTTTTTCTTAAATAGCCACAACGTCTCTGAACCGGATCGTGGCCGAAGCAAATGCTTCGTGTTCCTAATCAGATTATAACAAAAATAAATCTTTACTTTAACAAATAATTCAATTTCTTCCGAGTGACCTAACCCAAAATTATTCCAATTCTAATTACATATTTTAGACAATTATCTAAATTGTCATAAATAAAATAATATGTAGCAATTAGATTTGACTTACCAAAAACTCCCATAACCAACGAAAAATTTTATTTCTTGTTGACGTTATTTTAATATGCAACGAAACCCTCACCTGAAAGCTAGACTTATAGAGAAATCTGCCAGAACACGTTCCTCTACTCGTAATTTCGTTTTTGTTTGGATTTATCGTTAATCCTAATCCGCTAATGTGTCTCCTTGATTCTTCGCAAGTGAAAAAATCTAATTATATAGCGAGGGAATTAAGTAACGAATCTGGATTAAGAAAGATCACCGGATTAATCGTTCGCCCCCATGTTCGATTGTGAGAGGAGTGTCGTGTCGACTATTTCTATTAAGTCTCTTCGTGATTATGGCCTCCACTCGGGATTTAATTCCGTAAAATTTACTCCCGAGGTAATTTTATCTCGGTGTCGTATCTCAAAAAGAGTTACGAGGCTCCCTTACTTTTTTTCTTAGTTGACTCTTGAAATAGAACTGAAAGAGAGTGTTCGAGGTATTCCGACTGTTGAGGCTTCTTCGTGCGGATTTTTTGAATTATCGACGATCATTAATTATCGCTTGTCTACGCCTCTTCTTTCATTGGTAATTTATTGTTGCGACATGTTGGCCGCAACGGAGCGTGGATGATGAACCGACGACCAATGTTTATTTTCTAGGTTTATAGTCGAATGTAACTGTTCAAGAAATGAACAATTTGTAAAGTGGGACGAGATACGAGAACACTGATGGCGTTTTTTAACCTTTGAAATCTGATTGATGTTTTTAATTTGTTTTCGAAAACAAGGCCGGACCGACGCTCCACAAACGCGTTATTAGAAGAGCAGTTTGTTGTAGTCGTCGGTGGTGTAAAGGACGATCGATCAACTGTTGAGACACCACACCACTCTCGAAAATTTGTCATTTTACGAGGCATTAAAACGACGAGAGATAGGGATGAGTCATTAACAGTTGAATTTATATTCGGCTGTTCTGTCAACGACACCTAAACGGCCTCCGTGGCAATTCCCCATTTTATACACCCACATCGCTTGATATTGAAAAGAGTCGAAGTGAATCATGGAACAATCAAGCGGATACACTATACAATATGGGTTATTAACAGCAGATGCTGGTTTTATAAAAACAATAACACGAAGCTTAAAAACTTTTCTTGCCAAAAAGAAAGAGTTTTTACCTAGGTTTTATCCATACTTGGGTACTCAGATCAAATCCGAGTCATCTGCGCAGAATCGAATCATTTGCTCAAAAATCAAAACCAATTTTCAATCCGACCTGGACAATTTGTAATACGAACAGTGATATACGTGATAACAATAATGAACGCCACCTTTTCTAAAATACTTCCATATATGGGATTATAATTATTATTATTGTTTCAGTTGTAAGCACTATAGGCTTCTGACTAGATATTCGACTTAGCAATGCTGTGCAAAATCATGCAAAAACCAACAACTAAATTATTTACCATTTACTATTTCTTTTTTATAACTTACAATACGACTTTTTAGCAAACATTGTTTTAAAAATAAAAAAATTAAAATTACACAGAAAAAAACAAAGTTTAATGTAATGGCAAATGCTAATTTTTGTGAATTTCTTTTGGTTTCGGTTCTGGTGTCGTTTAGATATTGAGTTATCATACCACGACCTCCCTTTTCTCTCTTTTTTTGTCCTGAAGATGCTCCTTACAAGAGTGAGCAATACGTCGACTTTTTCTTCTAAACTGAGGTAGCCTAACCCAAAAACACCCAGATTTCAACCTCTTGCAATAATTAGTTCGTATTATAGAGGTTCTACTATACATATCTTGTTCAAAACTTTGACAAATAAAATTTAAACATTTCCCTGTCTACACAAAAATTTGTCATGCCAAATGGGTTAAGATAAAAACTGTTTTCTGACAAAGTTTATTCAAATACAAGAATATAGATTATTTTAATAAAAATTCAAATCACATTTGCTCATATTATAGTTCGAATCCTTGAAATCAGATCCGTTTCCTGAGCCAAAATATCCAAATGATTCATTGAATCGCAGACTATTTCTATAAAACTTGCAGCTATAATGAACCAGTAAAAGATTTAGTTTATCCGCGATTAAAATTTTCTAATCGAGGGAAATAAATTAACGACGTGTCCTGTCACCAACTAGCTTTTCGTCCCTTACTACTAATCCTCCCTCACAGGTAAAGCTTTAACGTTCCCGGCGTTCTTTTCCATGAATACTAACGAGAGAAACCGAATCCGCAACCGCACAAGTAATTAGTTCCGGCAAGATTACATTTAGATTGTGTCAAAGGCAGATTGCGAGTAAATATATAACGGTGTGTATGTTTTATACGCAATTCCACGAAAAATTTCTGGAGCCATCATCGATTTTCGACTCGGCTAAACCTCCCCGCCGAAAAGTGACCCTCGAGTTAACGATCTCTCATCCACTTCAGGACGCGTTAACGAGACGTCTTGAGAACTGAGACCTCCGGCAGTCTTTTCCGGTGACGGTGACACTTCACCGTCGAGAAGATATTTAACTGTACTTTAATTCTAACAGTAACGTTAGTATTATAGTCCTTGTGAAAAAAATCCCTCTGAATGAATTATATCCGACTTGCGTCACGATCCGTACAAATTTCCTTGCCGATTCTAAATTATTAAACGCGGATCGATCGGCATATCCAGACGTCGTCGACGTCGATGTTTTTGATAATTTTCGATATAATGCAGCCGCAGGTGGATAGCAACAACCATTTCTAACTTCTGTTGTTGGCTCGAGGCCGTCACGAAATCAACGATTCTTTTGACCGAAAAACAGTTCTTGGGCAATGTGGAGAGAAACTTTCTGTTTTTGTTGCAGAATTTGGGGTTTCATCACTCAAATCGGGCTTTTTTTTGAAGGACTCATACTTGACGCAATGAGGAAGTGGTATTTTTAGATGCGACCGTGGGAGATTCAAATTATGGGAAATGGTGACAGTAGGCGACGATTGCAGTTATGAGAAAAGGATTGTAGATGTTGTTTGAGCAATTATTCTATAACTGATCAAACCAATTTGAATTGTGTTCACCTTTCTTATCAACAGCATTGAACTAAAAAACGTAAAAACCAGATGTTTGCGCGAATGACACACTGTTTACAAGCCTCGTGGCCACTTCTTTATTTTTGCTTCTCTCCGTATACACTTTCAATTAGGACATTTATTCGTCAATGACTTCCTTCGCGCATCTCTACCACATCCGGGATGCACTCGCAGCTGTTTTACTATAACAGAGGCAAAGTTTAAGGTATCGACCTCGTGGAATCCTTGTCAAAATGCGATTTTTCACGACTTAATCTTTCTGTAAAAATTCGTGTCACGTCCATCTTTAGTTTTCTTGTTTTTGGCACCGACCCAAAAATCGAAAAAACTCTGCGAGAAGTAAGAGTCCAAATCAGCTGATTGCTTAATGTAGCGTGATTTTACATTAAAGCTTATGATGAGAGAGAAGAAAGAAAAAACTTTGCATATTATGTCAAAGGGGAATTATCGATCTGAACCGGAAATGTCGCCTTGTGACCTTAGAAAATAGGAATTTTGAGATGGCTGGCGTGTATTTTTGGGACGGCCTCGTACAATTTTAATTTTATGATGGCGGCGGAATGAGGTTGGATTGTGTTTATTGATAAGTTGGAAGTGTGTTGTGACGCGGTTTTATTTCCATCGTGGACACACACTTTCACTGACGATTGGTGGAACGTAAAGTAAAAGTGTTTGGAAATTGAACAGGTGTCGACAGAATCGATTTTCCCGGTTTTGCTCAGATTTGATAAAAAGATTCATACCGATTCAAAGCACTAAATCAATCAAAATTTGATACACTTCCTCAGATCAGAATCCTAATTTCATCATTTTCGATTAGAATAAGAAAAAAATCGGACCATCCAAACGTTTACTTATTTACACTGTAAAAATATTCGAAAAATTCTCTCAAGCTCGATCAAAAATTTTTTCAAAGTGCAAGCATCTCATCTGACCAGAGTCTAGTATCTTGGCCGCCATGACCCCATCCCGTCGACTTTCTAAGGTACAGTCCGACCATAAATACCCATCGGGTGTGTTAGAGAGTCCGCATACGCGTGCATAAATCTTCAAGCGAGTAATTAACAGCTTTTGGTTTCGGTCTTGCCGCCGAATGATTTGCATAATTGCCCTAAAGCTTCGGTCTGTAGGTAACGAAATTCCGACGTTTTTGTTGCGACCTTATCTTTCAATCGAGAAAAATTTCTATTACGCACACAAAAAGGCACCCAGGTAAAGATGTTTCAATGGGACAAAAGGCCGCCAAGGTGACGTCAAGGTGGATTTGGTTTTTCTACATCCACTATTACATGTGTTTCGGGAGTGGTCAAAGTTCTGAACTGATCATTTTGTTATTAATAAATACAGAGTATAATACATATTAGTAAATTGACCTCAGCTTACTCGACCTGATATCAAAGAAACACAAAACCCTCTTATCGTATTTTTTCCTTTATTAAAAAAATACTAATGAATTGTTTTCCTTTCATCCTATCACTCCGACCGATAAGAGAAATACCCCGTTACTAACTCAATAATTTACTCAATGATTTTGCCGAAAAACTGGGTCATTCGACAGATGGTGTCCAGAAACGACGTTACAAAAGCCTCGAAAAACTTTTTCGCTATTACCGCTCCCGTAATTGAGCCCTTTGATCTGACACGAGGGAGGTGGCTTGAATAATCGAAAAGAGGGAGTATTTCACACCAATTTTTTAACTCTTTTACTAATTAGTCAGATTGATGTCGCGACTTTACATAAAGTCGAAATGAATGAAATTAAGGCGATAATTAAGTTTTTTTAAAGAGTGGAATGAGAGACAAAAATTTACTCTCAAGGTGAATCAGAAGTTCCTCGTTTCGAATATTTACGATTGTGAATCGAGGAAAAATAGAATCAATGTCAGAAACAAAGCGTAAATCTGTAGAACACGCCGTTTGAGAGAGAAATTCGACGCAAAATTTTAAATATTTAGAGAAAAGGACGCGTAACTAAAAATTTGATTCAATGTTTACGCAACTAAATTAAAATTAACATAAAGTAATTTAAGATCAACATCGCTTTATAGATGTGTTGAGTAAATAACTCGGAATGAAAAATACATTTTCAGTTACTTTATAATGTTTCAGAGATTGAAACGAAAAAATACAAAAGCATTTTAATCATTTTGAGTACCCTAAAAGTTTGGTTGAAGATTATTAATCAATTAAAAACAGTACAAAGAAGGTGTAAGTTATCATAAATAATTTTTTTATTGGCACTGTCTCATTTCATAAGTTACTCGAATTATCTTAAAAATAATTTCTTCGTAAAATTCAAAGGTTCAGAACAAGCCCTAAATCATTTTTTCACTAACTAAAAAAAAACACCTTTTCGCTATTAATGTCATTAAATATTCATATTTGTTGGCAACTGACATATTTATTTATTCCGCATCTAGTCGGCTGAACTCCCATAGTTATAGACAGTTGTCATTACAAAGTTAACTAGACCAAATAAAACAATAGTAAAAAATTAAAATGTCTCGTAAACAGTTTTGACATTTTTGCGAAAAAGCATCCTACTTATTAAATAAATGAAATAAAAAAATAGACACCCACGTTAAACGACTATATTTACACAAAATTAAACCAAATTTATAATTTAACTTTTTCACGTTTGTGGCCTGAACTTAACAGTAAATTATAAGAGCTATTATTTATTATTACGTCGGTAACTAGACCGAATAAACGTAATTCGTCAAAAAATCACTTTTCTAATGTGCAAAAAATAATTTCAGTCTTCACAATTTGGATTGTACCTAATTCCTACATATGTATATCTATGCAAAATTCAAACGACACTAAAGACAATCACCTGAGAATACAAAATAGAAATAAATTATTTCCCCAACAATTGAATGAACATACCAATCAAGTTAACTGTGATATAACTGTCAATTTTTGGCATTTGTTACTACAGTGCTCACTAGACTGAATCAATCGCAGACATGACTTCCTATAATTAGCAATAAAAAGCAGCCAAGTTAATTACAATTGTTACAAAATAAAGTTTCTAATATATTAATAGAAAAGAGTGCAGTGACACTTCTTTTGTTTTTGTTTAATTAACGGACTTAAACGGCCGCATTGCTAAAGATGACGGGAAAAAAGGGCAAACAAAGGCTTTTTCAGCACCTGCTCACCTGTTTCTTGCGAAATAAATCGGGTTTTAATCAATTTGTAATATTTTGAGCGCTGCATTGACCGTCCGTGTCGACTTTCTAATGATCGAACGCGCCATCGTCCATTTGTGAAAGCTGCAAGAGTTCGCTCGTGGGCGTCTCCGAAGGGCCCCAAAGTCGGGGTGTATCGCAATGTAGGTCGCCATCGACAGGAAGGGTGCGGTTGTCTTCTAACCTACCTTATCAGCTGGAATATGCCTTCCGGACATGGTGTGGTCCTCGTTTCGATCTGCCTATCCGAAATCCTCGTATCTGTCGCAAACTGAGCAATTTTCGGTGGTCACAACACTACTCCATGGCACGACATCAAGATGGTGCACTAGCTAGCCATGATGGTAAGGGCGGAGCACCAAACGGCCGAAGACACAACACCAACACCGAGAAACACACAGAAAACGACCTCCGACGTTCTAACAATGCAGTGCAACTTTTCCAAGCCACTTTTCAACGCGACTGCGCCGCCACCACCAACTTATTCTTGTTGCAACTTGCAACTGATTTGTTTGACGCAACCCGCAGTGGACGAGCGACATCTACCGGACAATAACATCAAAGCAGAAATTAATTAAAGAAATTTAAGCAATTTGTACAAGGTAAAGAAGCCGACAGGAGATTTTAAAACAAAACAAACAAACACAAACAAAAGTTGAAAAGCTTTGAAAAAAACTACGTAATGTCATCTGTCAAAAATTTTACACCCACTACTCACATCACATGATGAAATCCTACATTCTTAAAATCTTATTGTAAAAAAATTAAAATTACCAATTTTGTGTAAAACATTGTTACAACTTCTAATAAAAAATTATAAAAAGCAATGTTTAATATAGTTTAGTAGTTTAATATGTTAGTACAACCGTACAATAATTTTAATTTAATTTAATAAGACCTTATGGGTATATGACTGCTTGCATTATCACACCCCCACCACTGTTTGTGACAATAAACTAACATAACCTCCCTTGTCAAAACAATCACTGTTTATTCTTTTAACAAATGTTGTTTTTTAAATTTTAAAAATGGATTCAAGCGGTGACAAGCCTCAAGAATCTTCCCAAGACGTAATAAACCTCCTTCAGGTAAGTCTCTTTGGGGTTAAATCTCCAGGTGTATCCACCTACACTCAGTTCCTTAAAAGGAGTGGTATTTGATTGTTTTTTATTACAGGAAAAAGTTATTAGCTTGTATTTATACAGAGATCATTATTTTGAAACTCATAAGATCGAAGATGCCATTCATAAAAATGGGGATGTTGAGAAAAAATTAGCTGAAATTGTAAGAGTTTTTGATGAGGGTGAAAAAAGGGCTTTGGGAGGCGATAGGGCGAAGTTTTGTTTTCTCAAAGGTAGAGCATTGAATGTTGTGCCTAAGTTTAGCAAAGAAGCAGAAAGTTTGCTCTCTAAGGCTGTTAAATTGGATCCTAAATGTGTTGAGGCTTGGAATGAGTTAGGAGAATGTTTTTGGAAGAATAATGAGTTGAAAAAGGCGATGAATTGTTTTGAGGGAGCACTTAAAGAAGTAAATCAGATTATCCAGAATATAAGATAATTATTAAATAAGTTTGGGATTTTTAGCGTAAGAATAAAATTTCATTGAGGAATCTCTCAATGTTGGCAAGACAGGAAACTTCAAATAGTAGAGAAAATTTAATAAATAATATAGAAAAAGGCTTGAATTATGCAAAAGAAGCTGTCCAACTTGATCCACAAGATGGCCTGTCATGGGCTGTTTTAGGAAATGCCCACTTATCATCATTTTTTGGAATCCAGCAAAACCCAAAAACATTAAAGCAATGTTTAAGTGCCTACTCCCAAGCCGTAATTATGAAATTTCATAAAAACATTAAAACATCGATTTTTTTAAGGAAAAAGACATTGTTGCCAAAAGTACTCCAGACTTACATTATAACAAAGGAATAGTATGTGTAGTAATTTTTGGTTGTTGTTTTACATCAGTAACTTAATTACAGACTTTAAAATATGAGGAAGAGTTTAAGTTGGCATTGGAATCGTTTAATAAGGCGGCTTTGTATGACCCCACATGGGACCAACCCAAAATTAAGGAAAAGCAACTTGTTAGATATTTAAATGAGATTAGCGATTTAGTTACGACGAATGGTAAAATGAAGGCGAAACGTTTACAACAAATTTTGCAAGTAAGTCTGATTATTTTTGTCAAATTACAGAAACCTGTAATTTTTGGTTTTCAAAATTGACAGTTAAAATATAGCTATTGTTCGAATTTTACTTTTTAAAACACGAGGTTGATTTTGGAATTTCTAATTTGAAAATTACAGGAACCTGTAGTACCGACTTCATATTTAATTTATTTTTTGTTACCAGTCGATCGATTCAAAGCAATTGGGTCCGTATGGAGGCGGGAGTTACACCTCGTCGACGAATCAAACCGTCAAACTTGATGAAATTTCTTTAGGGATCTTAAAGCCGGGTTTAAATGAGGAAAAGGTGATTTTGGGTAAAGTCGTATGTACAGTACAAAACGAGGATTCAGTTCCTTTGTAATGAATTTATTTTTCATATAATTTACAATAATAAAATAATTTATTTTAGTACATTGTGTTTGGTGGATAAATTAGGAACTTGCGTCGTAGTAACAGTTTTTAATTTGGCTGACGGTAAAGGTGTTATTATCGGTAATTCAGTGGCAATTCCCGAACCTTATGTGTCTGACGTGAATTTTACGTATAAAGATAATGTTTGTATGAGATTTTTAGCCAGATGACTTTTGTAATTTTTTTGTTTGCAGGAATACAAGTTTCGTTTAATACGAGTCGAGACACCTCTTGTGATGGTTGTGAATGGTAAAAAAGTAAATAGAGATCTTCAAGCAGGTGTCCAAATGTCAATTTTTAATAAATATGATTGATTGTAGTTCACACTTGTTTGTTATTCAGAATGAGAGTTGGTGTAGGAACCTGTAATTTATTAAACTTTTAAATTTATTCAAAAATTAATTGTAAACAATAAAACATTTTTTGATCATTTCGTTGTCTTATATATTTATAGTTTTTACAAAACTTTACATATTTGGTTTAGAGTATAAAATATACTTTAGAGTATAAAAATAAATATTGCTCGTTATCGATAATGATGTGTAAATCGCCTCATTCCAAAAAACAACCCATTTGTGTATCACTCTCGAATCCGCAAAAAACTAATCAATGGAAAAGTCCTTCCTCTCCGCGGGCGTCTTTATCACAACGTATTATCACAAAAAACAGGATGCACTACAAATTGCTCTCCCACAATTTCAAAAAATTGTCCAACACTTCGATGAAGAATGTACGTTTGGCTGGATCCTTGAACGCCGGTGCCAGGGTCTTCATGCCCATTTGGAGGATGGCCTCGTTCTGGAGGAGGTCGTTAAGGACGGTGAGGAGTTGAGTATCGCCGTGGATTTTGAGAAGGGTCGGATAGGTGAAAATGTAATAATGAACGCGGAGTTTGGCGGCGGCCCAATCCTCGACGGTGTGGTTGCCGCTGGCGACTTTGATCTGACCCATGTGTTCGGCAAACCAGGGACTGAAGTACTGTCCAAGCTCCAGCTTATCCAAGTGGGAGATGCCCTGCGTTTTGAGGCGCTCCTTGATTTGTAAGTAGATGGAGCGCCGGAAGACGAACACCTGGACAAGGGGGCTATTTTTAGAGTCAAGTGGACACACATGTTCTCTATTGTTATTTTTAACAAAAAAATAAAAATGTAGCTTGTAAAACAGGCAACAAATAATAAATGTAAAAAATGAGGATTTGTTTTTTTTTCCTTTTGTAAAAATATTTATGTATTTTTATTCATATACCTAATTAATAAATAGGTAGTCAGCGATTGAGACTACAAATGAAAAGATGACCTAAACAGATTCATTCTTCATCAATATAAATAATTGATGTTTACAATTGCATATTCGTCTTGTAACGAGTCAGAATCAGTTTTTGTGGATAAATTAATGAACAAAACTAAAAATTAACATTTCAAGAGCAATATTTTAGAAATTGTAAAATGGTTGAAGTTAAATACCTGTAGATAATTAACGATTTAGTTTTAAAAATGCATTATATAATTAATTAATGGGTTTATTAGTACTACATAATAAACAATAAATTATCAAGTATTTAAAAATGAATGAAAACATCTAGGAAGAATTTCTCTGTTTGTGTCTGATATGAATTTTTGCTATAACCACAATTTTTATAAATGATTCTTCTTTGGGGTAATCTATTTAAATTTGTTAAAACACATTTTTAGCTTGGAATTTTCAATCTAGGTTTTGCCGTTTTATAAATTGATAAAAACCAAATTTCAGTTTTGATACATCTGGATTTAGATTAATCTAATGATTAAAATCTGAGTGGTAACTTTTTAATTAAAGATTTAATTTTTTTATTCTTCGACACTGTCAAAATTTACGGTTTTTCTCCCGTGTAAGGAAGTTTTGACAACTGTTTGGCATTTCTCAATACAAAACGTCAAATTATTTTTAACAGATTTAAAGCAAGTTTAAGCCTTGTTGACTCTAATTTGAAGAATAAAATGTTGTATTCCACTCATTTGAATGTAAATCGGACGCTTTATTCCACCTTGTGGATGGTAAACCACTCGTTACACTCGTGATTTAAAAATCCACTCGGTCAAATAAAGTGTCCGATTTACACTCAAACTCGTCGAATAAATAACTAAAATCTATGCAAGACTATAAAGATCCTTTTTTTATTTTCATCCGTCAGGTGACCTAAACCTTTTCATTTAAAACATGCAACGATTCCGTAATTGCCCAAACATTTTTCATGTCATCACAATCCATCACTTATGGAAATTTCTTTAAAGTTCACCGAAATAAAACCTTGAGGCACTCAGAAACACATAACGAGCATTTATTTACTTCTCCATCAACGATAAAATAGATTTGCGTCAAGAACACCGTAATTACAACAAAATTGTTTAATTGTAAAATCCAAAAACGTACTTTATGTGACGCTGTTATCTTCAATGACCATGATGGATGGAAAACCTTGCCTACTTTTACACACTTCTGATAAAATTCCATTAAAATTGAATAAAAATTAATAAGCGGTCACGAAAACTAAAAAACCGACCCTGACATTTCTCGAAATTCCCTGCTTCGGAAATTTCGCTTTTTGCTTTGTGTGAGAGAAATCTAATCGACATGTGGTCAACAATCAACATAAATTAAAAATTCAAATAAATTTCTTTGCTCTCATTAAGTCATTGCATCATTTGAGATTGAGACCTTTAACGATGCTAAATCGGTACAAAATTTATGCAAACGTGATTGGTTTCGCTTAATATTTTTTTTTCTCACGAGAAACAATTTAATCATTCTACGACCATGAACGTTATGTGTAACTAATTGTTGTGTTTAATCATTTGGATATTGAACTCTTACCTCTTACATAAAAATGTGGTAAAACAATAGTAAAGTGTTTAAATGTTTAATAGAGCTTTAAATGTAAAATTATGTAACTAGTTTCCTATCACTCAAGACTCAGAGACTTGAAATCATGTCATTATTGTCCTAATTAATCACCCAACAATTAAAATACCTGATAAAGTGCATTTCCAGTAACATATGACTCGATAAAATGCGAGCCATACTTTCTTATAAACTTCAAAACACTGCTCACATCACCAACTTGGATTTTATCAATCTCCCTCGCCACCACGTCCATCAAATTAACATTATTCGGTATTTTGCTCAACTTGACACTATCCCTAAACCTCGCCAACCTCACTAACACATAACAATGTTCCTTCTGAACAAACGACGAATTAATTCCTAGATTCTTGGCCAGCGTCTCCGGCGACCAACTCGCTGTGAAGGCCCTCCAAGTATTCTCCAGCCTCTCGAAGCTGAAATCCCTGAAATACGCCTGCACTAGTTGTTTCACATTATCGCAAAACTCCATGTGGAAATCGCCTACGAAAACCCGCCGCTGCTTTTTCGGCACTTTCACCGGGTGCACAACGTAGCGGTCTAGGTCGTCGAAGACGTCGATAGTGGGCTCTCTGAAGAGGAAATTGGAATCGTTTCGCGGGACAACTTTCATACTCAGGCTGAGATATCCGTAGCGGGTGAAAATGTCGACGGAGCGGCCGACGCGCAGCTGGCTGTCGTCGGATTGGACGTCGTCTCCGTAGGCCGAGAGAGCGGTCAGCAGCACGAGCAGCTGTGCTCGGCCCCACATTCTCGACGCGACTGACACCTGAAACATGGACAAGTGTGCACAAGGTGAGGCCTTGAATGCGCGCGCGAGATAGCATTATGCGAGAGGATGCACCGGTGGAGGATAGACGGTTGTTCACCCTTGGTGGAATCCCGTCGAACAGGATCGATCACCAGGTGCACGAAAATGAGAGCAGTTATAACCGTTTTTCGAGCACGAGGACGCGGTTTATATACCACTTTGGAGAGGTTTCGGGGGTGAGGTGGACGCACTAGCGACATCTACGAGGTTCTAGGAGGATAGTATAGAAGCAGACAACATTTTTATCGGTTTAGAATAGTTGATTGAGTCAAAATGATTCCCATTCCAGGGCTAGGAAGGAAAAGGGTATTAGATCATTTAACGTTAAGTTTGATCAGCTCTAGGCCTGTATTATAAACTGATTCAAATTCAGTTTCAAAAATGAAAAAAAAATATGTATTCAGGTTTCAACTTTAGAACATGATGTAGTAGACATCTGATTTTTTTTACTGACATCTGATTATATGTATTTCTTGAAATGAAGTATACCTACAATGAAATATGTAGAAAAAATTTAAGCAAATTCGGATTTCTGAGATTCATTTCACGAAATGTAAGTCATTCCATTTCAAACTTGAATAAGTTTAAGATTTAGGTAAGAGATGATTTATTTAAACTTAAGATCCGATTCATATCTTGTCGAGCTTTGTGATTCAAAAAATTTCAAAGAGCTCCTCCAGTTCAGATTGGATGAAATGATTCTGATTTAGAAGTCAAACTAAATCTAAATGGATTAAGCAATAGATTTGGATTTTAAAAATCTGGCGACACAGTTACAGCTTATAATAAACAATATTTGACCCCAATCGCGTTGCAACATCGATTGTTCCGTTCGATCAAACCCATTTTGTCGACCTTCGCCACCGAAGGCCCCTTAAAGAAATCCAACAAACGTGACAGAATCGCAGAGAAAGTTCACACTTAAAAGCAATCTTTAAAAAAAATCGAAATGTTCATATTTCATCAGAATTGAGCCAACATCTGGAACAAACTAATTTCAGCGAGATTACACCATTTCTTATTTTTCACACAAGATTTTGAATTTTTCAACACTCGATCGCGTTTCACAATGAGATATTTCCTTAATTGGATGTTTGTTGCAGTTGCAATTAATCAAAAACGAGCGCTTGACTAGGCATTGTCTGGGAATTAGATACTTTCACCAGTTTCTTCGGAACCATGACTTGTGTATCTACTAAATTCGAACTTGCGAATCTCAATTAATATAATTTGGGGATGCGAGATGGTGGTGAGCGATTAGAACGCCATCTCAGGTATTTCCAGATGAGGATCGTGAAGAAACCTGTTTTGTGGCGAACTTTGGAATTATGTTGTATTTATTTACAATACGAGCATTGTCCTCTAGATTAATCGTGACACGACATTAAAGAAATAAATGTAGTGTGATAAATGCGGTGGCAATAAACCCGATTAAATTATTTTTGAAAAAGTGAAACCGGAAATGATTATACAACTCAACGTATGATTTAAATTAATCTAATTTGTGGCCAAAACAATTACATCATTAGTTCTCTGCACTGCTTTTACGTAATAACACTTTTACCATTTCCGCGTTTTTGAAATGTTTCAACCTTGAAAAAATTCGACTTACGCGTAACAAAATTCAACCACCATTACGTTCAAACCACTCCAACTCCTGCACCACACTGATTATTGACCAGGTTGCTCCCCTTGAATCGGGCAGGTGTCCTATAGAGGGGCCGATCGCTCTCACTTTCACCGCTCGATTCCATAAGGAATACAATAGAAAACCCGAACAAGATTAGAAATTATAACGCGGTTTGAATATTGATAAGTGGTTGGGTTTGGAGTGATTTTTAACTGGGAGTAATTAAGCGAGTGTAGGGATTCTACTAGGTGCAAATTAAGTGTCGATAGTCCGACTATGACTTATTAGATAGACTTGTCGAAGGTAATTAAGACAAGTTTAGTATGCAATTATGGATTGAAAGCGGGTATTTAGAGTGTTGAATACCTATTGATTCTAGATAGCAGTTTTGGAGAAATGAATAAATTCTTTGGACAGAGATTTCCTTCAATTTGGAAACAATTGAAACACTGTGATCATTTTAGAAAGCCATAATGTGTTCTGAATCCTTACATACTGAGACAAGGATTCAATTTTAATCATTTTAAAGTTTGAGTGACTCGGCTTAAAAAATGTTTTTTTTTTTGTTTTAATTCAACTTCAAACAAACCATTTGCATAGAAAGTTTAATTGCAAAATAAACAAAACTTAAACATTAATTTGAATTAAAATTTAGATTAGTAATTAATTACATAGGTATTATTAACCCAGCAGAGAAACTAAAAAAGATTCAGATTTTTTAATTTGGACCCCACTTAGAACTAGCAAGACACTTTGAAGTTAAAAAAAAACGAATGATCTCTTTTGAATCTCTTTGGATGTAAAAGACTCACATTTCGATTTAGAAAGATTCAATGACTAAAGTAAAATAGTTTTCATAAGACCTACTAAAAATTTTTATTACTTTTAAGTTAAATGCGTTATTGTTAAGAGTAAATCAGAGGATAAACAAATCATAAATTAGTGGAATCCACCCGGACCCTGAAACAGGTCAGTTTTTAACAGGGCCGGATTACTTACTTTCTTTTTGTCTAAAATACTTGAAATGTTTTAATAGTTTTTGATGTAGTTGATATTAAAGTCAAGTATTTTAAGAAATTTAAAAAAGCCAGGTGGTTGTTAACAGGCTATTATTACATAAAACTGATTTATCCCTTATAATGTGTCATAAAACTTTTAGTAGGTCTTAGGAAAACGATTTTACTATACCTATTTTGGTTTATTATTTGTGTTTCAGATATATTAATTGTACGAGATGAATAAGTATAACCGTTTTTCAATTAATTGGATAATCATTTATAATTACCTTGTATAATAACTGTATATCTCGTGCCATAGCTATCGCCAGCCACTTCTGTCACTTTTCACAATGTTTTTTATGTATGAAATAGTGTAATTTTTTGTCCCGAAATTTGTCAGTTAGGTTCAGTTGTAACACAGATTCTTTTACAAATCAAATCTTTCTGACCTATTTCACCACAAAAAATGCAGTTGCGGCGTTGCCTTTGTGACGATAGCAATGGCACGAGGTATAAAATGTGATTTGGAATATTTGGATACAGACGATTTAAATGTGATTTTTGTTAAAACTTAGATTTGAAGACAATTCGGTACATAATCCGTTCGTAAAATTTACATTATCGCAATCAAGGTTGTACTTTTTTCCATACATACTAGTATAAAATTCAGTATTCAAATTCAAGTATTTAAATCAGAACCATCGTTGAGCTTCAAGTCGATTCAAATAGAATACGAAACCAAAACAACATACCATGTATACCCAGATATTTTATATCAAATGTGAAGATTGTTGAAAAGGTTTTTGAAAGTTGCATTTTCCAGGTTTTGATCCCTAGGTGGACATGAGTTATTCGATGCAGATTTAAGCATTATTTTATCTATCGAAAAAAAAACTACAAAGCTGTGTGACTCACGTGGGCGTAAATTCGCTCGCAAGTGTCTGGAGATTTAAACTTCTTATCAGTGTCAATGCCAGTCCTCACTAACACTATTGACCCAAAATAATCAATTAAATACTTGAAACCAGTAAACATTAAAAAATCTGTTATTTACTTGACCTCACCTCGCTGATAATAAAACTTAACTAGGAATCCGCGAAATGTGATTTTAAATGGCACTAAAGCATCCGTAATTACTTACGTTTTCAGACCTCGATGAAGAACTTGAAGCGCACTTCCGGCACTAATTATTGGTTGCAAATCACGTTTGTTTTCATTGCCGGTGAAAAAACATGTTTTCAGTCCAAGTTCGATAAGTTATCGACAATGAATAGTACCTCTTGTGGTCTTTTGTTGGCAGACGCAATAAAATAGATAATTTTTTGCCGCTTTAACTGGATAATTAAGATCTCAAGGCCGCGTGTGAGGAAGCCCTGTATTATCTACACGAAGTCCCACAAGTATAATTAAAAGTTACATTAAATTAAATTAAAAGTAAATTTAAAAAAAAAGTATAATTAGGGAGTGGACGGTTATTTCCGGGAGTTTTAGCAAATTTGTGTTTTATTATAGGGTTTTGGGCGCAGTCGGTAGGAAGGTTAAGGTTGCGAGTTTTTTGGGCCGCGACCGCTTTAAAAAATCGTTTTTTCGCAATTCTTTTGAAATCGTCTAAAGGTTAGTGGTGGCCGACAAGTCAAGGGTAACCGGCTTTCGAAGATGGTACTATGTATCGACACGCGACACGAAATTATAACGTGAAGAAAGCGAATTATGCAAAAGTGAGTCTTGCTGACGGTAAAGTCGTTGCTTTTAACGAGAATCCTTACTTACGGGAAAATTGCGAGGAATTAGAAAATGCTTTAATTAATAATAATTTCTAATAAAAGAGTACTCACCGGAACGTTTGGGCTTCATTGGTGATGGTCATTTCTTGACGAGATTTTGATTTTGAAACATGTCAAAAGTGATAGTTTTGACAGATGATGCATGTAAACTGTGGCATTTTGTAAGATGAAAAGTCAAAAATTGGGAAAATGGTTCTTAAACCGTCACAAAATTGCGTTAAAAATCCAAGAAATTAGCTGTAATTTTTGAACAAAATTTAAAAATCAGCATACCTAAAGCTATCATTCTTTAAAATTACATCATGGCACAGTCACAGTTTTGACATAAGAAAAGTTGATTTCTACTCTCCGTCGTGCAAAAATCATTGCTTTTTTATTTTCATCACTTCATAAATTGTGAAATTAATAAATTATTCCCAGTTATCTGATTTAGTGGTATCGAAGACCGTTGAAATAATTAAATATAAAATGTAAATATTTGTTACAAATAACTTTGTTGTTCCTTTGATTGTCGGCTTGGATTAAGCTTTTTGTCTTGGATTAGGTTCTGGAAGCTACATACAAGAGGTGAACAAAAAGTATGGAACCAAGCGCTTTTTTTTTAAACATGTGCTTTCAGAAATAATAAAAAAGAAATTAAAGTGCTACAAAAGATGTTATCGTGTTTTGAAAATGAAATTTTGTTTTGTTTTTGAGTTTTGATTTTTTTTCCAAAATGGTAACAAATAGCTTTTGATAGCCTTTGAAAAAAAATGTATTATAGTGGGTTGTCATTTAAAAAAAAATTAAAAATTTTGCGTCAGAATTCACAAAGAGAACAAAAACATTCTTTTTGATAAAACGTCACATTTTCATTTCACTTTATCAGTTTTACCATTTATCAATTATTACTTTTTCAACAAACTAAGTAATTTAAGCAAAAAACGTTTGGTTTATACTTTTTATTTACCGGGTAGGTATAATAAATTACACAACTTAATAAACTAAGAAAAAAAGAATGAACCTTATTAATTATAAACTTAATTTTAAATTTTAAAACTAATACTACTCTAGTATTGTTAGACGTAACATTATTTATTAATTTAATAAAATTATGTAAAACTCTTATTTTTGATTAAATAATAAATAACACAAATGAAGAAATACAATTTATTCCTTCCATTATTACATTTATAACCACTTTCGAAATATTTAAACAATACATGGCCATAAAAATGATAAAATTCTTTCACTAAACCACAAAATTCTATTGTTACATAAATATTTAAAATTATCTTGTTGGAGAAATTTATTTTGAACCAAATCAGTACGCCTTAGACTTTTACAGGTGGTGCCATCTCCCAAACACTAGATTACAGACACCTAGGTGTTTGGCAACCAAACCAAATTTAACTGGTAAAATGTTAAATTAGTTTGGCTAGTAGTGGGTAGAGGCCGCTATAATACCAGACACGTTTCTGTTCGCAAACTTGTTCCTGAAAAATGCGGTAAAAATGTTTCAAATCAGAGTTCCGCATTTACGAATGTCCGAATAATTAAATTCCCTCGCTTGATTAACTCTGACAGCACAATAGCGCCAAAATCGTGTCTTTTTTCGTTTTCTAACGAGACGACAGTTAAGTCGGATTCTTTGAAGTTTTCAAATCGTGACTCTCTAATCAGTCCGTTGACGTAACAATAATTTTCATTCATCAACCAGGTGATGGAGTCATCGAGATTAACTGTTCTAATTCTCGTCCACTCTTTGTTGTTTTGTCCGCTCATAATAAAACATAATAAAATAATTAAATTCGGCGTCAGTCGTACCATAAAATTACTTTTTCAGTTTGTCCAAAATGTAATTCGTTAAAATCGCTTCGTTAGTTTGCATAATTGAAGTTTAGTGTAGTATGTATTTGTTTTTGAAATTACAATTAATAATTCACGATGGCAAACATTGGACATAAACGCGGCCGGTTTTAATTAAACTTGCTATAAGTTTTTCTTTTTGGAACACTTATGATATAGGCGATTTCTTGCGCTACATTTAACCGAATAATATCTTACACGAAGTAATTAAAACGACACGAGGTTCCAGGGTCGCATTCGCTTATAAATCCAACGACTTGCCGATAACATACACACGGATGACTTTTCTTCGAACACGACTCGAAACTCGAGACCTCAAAGACACACAATTCGACTTACAACTCACTTTAAGTGTGTTTAACGTCGTGACAGAGGGATTAAGCGGTTTAGGCAAATCCGACTCTGTACAGAGCTAATAACTTAATCGAAAACTTGCCACCATATCGCATTAGCCGTTTCCGAAAAATTCACACCGGGGAACCGATTTAATTACCAGTTTGTGGCTTTTAAGGTCTAAGAAGCTTTAAGAGGATTCACTGGTTCAATACCTACTAAAACGAGAATGAAACAAATAAAACTATTCACCTACCCCCAACATAAGAATTTAAATGCACAAAACTGATTTCATTCAAACATTCTGTTTCAGTTTACATTTTCTAAAAAAATCTAATTTAAAAATTCAAATCGATTTAGAACCTCTGATTTTGAATCGACAGTGCGGTTTAAATATAAGTTTGTAATAATAAAAAATAGTTATTTCACCATAATGCTTAATAAAGTCGTGTAGTTTTAGCAGATTTAAATCAAATATTAAAAAAACTGGATCTGGATTTGTATCATAAGGTTTGGATTTGAAAAAAGTGAATAGGTACCTATTTTGAGATTTGAATCAGGTCAAATCAGCATTTTAAAATAGGTCCTTGTAATGAATGAATTAGGTTAGGGTGGTTGATTAAAAAACTATGTAAGAAAATCTGATCAATAAAAAGTTGTGTATTTTTTTATTTGTTCTTTTCATTGGTTTACAGACAAAGCAACAATTTAGTTTTCTCTCTCAATAGCCTCTAATCAAGCAAACCATAATTCATTTTTGGCACAAGGCAAACAAGTGTTCGCACCATCGGCATCGAATATTTTTCTTTGAAGACTCTGCTATTAGATATCACGCATGTCGTGTGGGGCCTTCGTTTGCGTCCCTCTTCATCAACCGAATCGGAAAAGTTGTCGATGCATAAAATAATACTTTCGTCGTGGTACAACCCGACAAAAAGTGGGCAACAAGTGCCCTCGTCAGTGTCATTTGCCGCATTAGATTCTTTATCAATCCTTCTACTAATTATGTTGCTTTCGATATTATTCCTCTTATTATCTGAACATGACTGGAGTACCAGGCGGCTGTCGCTTCATTAAAGAAGTGTCCTCGTCCACGACCATGATGGATGACAAGTTGTTATCGCAACATCGCCCATTGGTGGTCTTCGAATTTTCGCCGTTGGAAAGTCGGGAAACGTCGATTTTTGCCTGGAGATTCCGTCACGACTTCATTAGAGACTCTCGACCAAATTTCAACGATTAATCAAACAAATGAATAGAAGCCATGATTTACGGTGTGAATGTGTTTTACACGTCTCCAAAAGGCGCTATTCTTTCGCAACAAGGTTACCAACAGTAGCCGGTCATTACAAACCATGAGGCAATAACAACTGCCTAAATACAATAAGAGCCGACTCAATAGCGGCAGATTTGTTAGACACGTTACTTGTTACATCGAATAAAAGACTTTTTCCATGGTGAAGTTCTTTCAAATGCCGACGGAATTCCAAACCATGAGAACCCAAGGATCTAAAACAGTAGCCTAGTATTTACTCCTGCAATCTCATGGATGATTAGGGCCAACTGCGGGGGGCCGACAGGTACTCATAGCTAATTTGAAGAGGGTGGACTTAAGAGGATTCAAATAAACCTACTATGCATATTTCTGACACTGGAATACAAAAAGAAGCAACAAAGAAGCATAATCAAATTAATGCAGACAAAAATACAGCAACATTGCTGAATATTCCAAAATTAAAAACATTTTTACACAGCGATTTAAGTTCTAAATGTAAAAAAGTATTACAATAGAAAACCATTAAATAAGAGTCATAATAAAAGTTGAAAAAGTTAATTTTAACATTAAAACTGAAGAAAAATTCGAGCTTATTCCAAATAAATTACACAATATTTGCTGACAATCTTCATGATACTGCTTGCATCCTTTGCAGAATACTTTTTTCTGCATACAAGGATTGACGACTCTATCATAAAATTCGACTTTTTTAGGGTATATACTTACTCAGAACATTTTGACGTACAAACGCATTTTGTATTGTTTAAAGTGGCTTAAAAAAATAATGTCGGCCAAAAAAATGCATTTTTTCACGGTATTATCACGTGATGAACATTGTGCGACAATTTTTTACAACTTTTAACGTGAATTATTTCAACAACAGTGCATGGACTTACTTCAATTTTTGATGATGAACAACCATTAAAAACTATTGTATTTATATTAGTGGTATAATAAAATTAATTGTGGTCGTGGTATGTTCATTGAAGAATTAAGTGAAGCTCGTCCATTGATTAAGGCATCTTTGGACAATATCGGCACTAGCATTCATTCAATATTGCATGAACAGTTGGCCGTCAAAAAATTTTTTTGTGTTGGATTCCACATAATTTGGCAATCGCTCAAAAAACGGCCGTGTTAATTTTTCAAAATAAAAGCTTAAAAATACGATCAGGATGCTTGAAAACACATCTATAACATTATAACAGGTGACGAATCATAGATCTAAGGCGCATGAGTTCAAAAGTAAGCTGCAGTCGTCTGAAGAAGCGGTTGATGCGTTCAAAATGCATGTTTTGGAGGTACCTCAATCGGAGTGGAAAAAGTAGTTTAAAAATTGGTTCAAGCGCTTATGCAAAAGTGTATTGATCTTCAGGGAGAATATTTTGAAAAACAATAAAGCCATATACGATGGCTTATTTTATCTCTTGTCCTCTATACCCAAAATATAAAAAGCAACCCTCGTACAAACCATTTTTCATTAAAATTTTTGTAACCCAAAGCTCACAATTGCTCATTCCCTTTCAAGGGAAAAGTTCCAATATAAAACATAAACATACCTAATGTTTTAACAAAATTTCTAGTGACGAAAACAAAAAACAAACAAAATTTGTGTAATCTGATATCAATTTTCTGAGCAAATTTTTGTTTGCATTTCAAAATAATTTTAAAACTTAAACGCAGCTTTGGTTCCTAATTGTTTTTTACATTTCTTAAAAACCAATTTAGTAAAAGTGTTTAAAATTTGTATTTATGATAGTGTTGCTTCACTTTCGTTTTAAAAAAGTGTTTGAAAGTGTTCCTCTTTCAGGCATCATCATTTCTCATCGAGTCACTTTTGTTCTTTTTCCTTGTGGGTATTTATCCAAACTGTTGCTGCTAATTGCTCCATGTTGTTCCTCGCGGCTCTCTTTGACGTCGAAATTAATAAAAACGGTCCCAAACGTCGATCCCCGTGAATAGAGGTTTAATTTTGAATAGCGCAATCGTCGATCGTGTCCATCGCACGCTAATCCATAACGAGATATGCACACAGAGAGCTCGTAATAAAAAGCGACTCTTGGTAGCCAGTAGCTCCGTATAGATCAAAGGCGGTCATCGTTTAAGAAAGCGGAGTGACTGTTGGAATTCCTCGGAGCATTATTATAAAACACCGCCGTCTTTCATCCCGATACATTCGGATGTAAAATTCAATTAGACAAAGTATAAACGGCCCGCTCTGTATATTCCATCCTTTGTGCTCCAGGAAGCAGTGCGCGATTAATCCGCATCGAGGATTTGCCATTTCGACCGCGCATCGATTAATTAATTCATAACGAGAATAACGGATCTCTACGAAAGAGTCAGGGGCCAAATGAAACTCTAGATTTTTGTCGACGAGGAGACAGGTAATTCCATACGGAGGAGCAGCGCTATCTGTGTTAGAAATCAGGACGGGATGCTGAAATGTCAGTAAGTTGAAGCCGATGAGACGACGCCCCCGAAGACTATTTTACAAAGCAGGGGAACGGATGATGAAGATTAACGTGAGAAAGGGATGGAATCAGGGAAGAGTAAGGAGATGGAGAGAGATGAAAAGAGCTACCTGGCAACTAATCAGGTTGAGGGAAATTGAAATCTCAGATTTCGATAGGGGCGGCCCGGTTTGGGCAAAAATTGACTGGAAATAAAAACACAACAGATGGGGGTCTACATTACACAATACAGAGTGTCTCATTTGAAACTTGAGTGGGAAATGTGGAAAGTTGCAGTTTATTTTATTTGAGCTACACTGAAGATGAATAAACAATTCTAAATTTGTCTAGCAACAAATATTCAACATAATTAATGTAATGTAAAATTGATCATTAAAAAGGTGTTTTTCTATTTCGGTGTCACAATGAGCATTTTGTGTAACTGAAAATAGTTGCATAAAAAGCAAGTGACACTTTTTTGGCCACATTTTCTGCAGTACTTTGGCCATTACTGATGGCCATAGACTATCGTTTTTAAGTGAGGAATTGTTGTAGACCAACAATCAAAACTAATGCAATTTGAACTATTTTCTACCGATTTGGGTACCGCATATGTCAAATGTTAAAAATTGTAACTGTCAAATATAAAAATAAATTCAATTTAAAAATCGCTCAATAGAAAAAATACTACATATAAAAGACGCGTGTTACGCATGTTGTGATACTCGTGCAAAACTTCTCGTATTTGTTTTTAAATAAATGAATAAATAAAAACGTCAAAATTCTAAACTATTCAAATCCAACTGACTAATGATCATCTTATCTTTTTTATGTCTTTAGAACAATAATTTTTCACAGTTTGAAGAACTCAAAAATTATAGAGTTTCAAAATGCATTTTTGTCTCTAACTTCAAAATTATTTCTTGCCCTGGGCGGATAAATCCGGTATTTTTTGAAAGTTTTGACACACGCCGAAATAAATTTCTTGGCAAAGCGGTGTAAAAAAATAAGTGTTTAGGTGTAGACGTATATTCTCAAAAAATTTCAAAGTTTGTTTTTCAAGTTTAATTCGCAGTATACCGTTTGAAAAATCCGAAGATGTTTAAAATTTTGTTACTCATTAGGTAGGTATACCTAATTGTAATTTCACAACAATTTGGTTTTAAACAAAAATTAAACAAATTTCGAATCGCTAAATTATCTTACATGAGACAAAAAACTTATTTATTTTATATCGGAAAATTCTGATTTTCACACAATTTTGAACTCAAAAATTTTGAGTTTGGAAGCTTTTACTGCACAAAACTACTGTGTAAAAATAAAATTTTGGTGTTGTTAAAAGACGAATTTTGATCTATAAAAAATATTTTTTTTATTGGGACATATCTCCAAGTGAGGAAAAATTAAAATATTCACTTATATTTTTTATATTTTCTTCTTTTTCTTTTTAAAAGATTGAAAAGTAGAGTATTGAACTTATGGTAACTAAAACAAATCATTATGCTTTTAACTTTTTATTGTTTTATAATACAAAATATAAGACTAATAAAAATTTGATTTATTTTAAAAAAATACAGAAAACTTCATTCGAGGAACTTTTTAAATATCTATCCTTGTCCTGCTTCGACTTTCCCACCAGCTAAGCCACCTCCTGGTGTTAAATCCCGGTTGAGATTTCTCTCGTTTGTAATTTTTTCTTCTCCCCTGAGCTCATGTGGGTGCCGCATAATAGCCCCGGTAAAGAATCGATAAACATCGAAAAAAGCATCTCCCGATGGCTTATGAACTAAATAATCGTCGGCATCTTTGAGGTTTAGAAATATCGGTGTAGAAGGATGAAACTTTAGTGAGGCAAAGAAAGGACGAGGATTTTACATTATAAAGATTACACGGAGCCAGGTATTGAGCCGCGCCAATATTGCGGCTTCAGGATTTAAAAAGATTGCCGAAGCTTATCGAGGACTTATACGAGCACTTATATATCTGAGAGATGGTTTGTTTGTTAGCTGCCGCATGGGAATCTCACTCGACAAATAAATAAGAAGACCGGACGCAAATTTACTATTTCCGGACGATTCTCGAGTGTTTACCCTAATTTAACGTCTGCCAAATGCTCCAAGTTATTAAGCGACGACAGAAAGAGACTCCAAGCTGGAGACTTCACATTTTATTCAATTATTGGACGAGGTTGTTTTCTTGTTTTATACATAGTTAAAACTTGAAACGCCACTCAACTTCCAGCTATTGAAATTTTGATTTTAATTAGGTAGACTAGTTTTCAAGATTCAGATTTCTTGCGTTTTATTTCTAAACCTCTCCAATTATGATTTGATAAATAAATATTTGTTTTGTTTTAACTCGAATTGTTTTTTTTGTGTGATGCCTGTGCCGTCCAATTTTGAAGCAATAAATTAATGCAATTATTATAACTGCATTTATGCCCCTTGTAAGCTACAAGTATAGGATAAAAACACCCTCATTCATCAAAGCAATAGAAATTGAATCGTTACAAATAATGTAAATAGCAGGGAGCCTTGTATAGGGGTGTCGCCCTCTCCGTACGTGGCTAATTCTTGATTACGCAACTAATAACACGATAAAGTTGGCCCACCGACAACAACAAATAAACTTATCGATTACAATTTAAGAAGAGAAGAACAACAAGAGGTCTGTTAGGGTTTTCAGGAGAAAAAAACGATGTTTGGTGGTCGCTTGTCTCGTGTCTCGGGCTCGGACAGTTCGGAGATGTCATCGCAGGCAAAAAAGACGATGATGTACTAACAAGAAAGCGCTTATGAATTTAATTATGGAAGGGTTGTCGGCTTGGAATGCGGACGGCGAGATGCAAAAGAAGTTATCGGGGACATGTGTGGCCACATGAGATATAATTCTTGAAATTTGTATTTTTTAAACCTACTTGTAACTAATTTTTAAACCAACTTGTAATTAATTAATAACAGATAATAATTAATACAGACAAATTTAGTTAGAATGTTAAACAAAGATAATTTACAAATTTTGCAAATTTGTGATAATCAAAAGCCTCTACCTTTTAGGAAAATTTAAACATTTAATCCTATATCTAAAATTTAAATTTTTGATAAGTCTTCTCAATTCCTATCATTTCTATAAATTTTAATATTCTGTGATTATTCCAGCTCAAGCATCTAATTTTAAAATGAAAATAACTCTAGAATTTTAAACTTTATATTGTATTGCTTTTCATTTATTTTTTACAATTACAATGTACATACTTACCTACCTTGGCGTTTTATAATTTTTGTGTATAAAAATATCAGTATAAAAAATGAGATTTCTTCGTGAAAATGTACTCTGTAATATATAAAAAATAAATAAAATAAGAACTAAAAAGTCTAACTACCGAATTTAGAATTAGGATATTCGTTTTGCAAAGTCACTAGACTCATTAATTTTTGCTTAGACCATTCAGTGTTTAAAGTAACAAATTTTACCAAAATTCACTAAAAAAATTAAGTTTGTTGAATTTACGACTCCTTCAAAATAATATCATTAACGACACACCCTCCTGAACTGAAAAATTCAACTTGTGTTCATTTTAGGTTCTAAAAATCGATTCAAAGCCACAACTGGATTGAGTCTTCAGGCGCGCTAAAGCTCCCTCTCCTAAAAAATCAATCGTCACTTCAATTAAAACGCAAATTTTTCTAAAAATACATTACATCTCTGGCTGCACCTCCCCTCCGCACTCCACCTCTCACCTGTCTCACACTGCCGTACCTCGGGCGAAAAACTTAATGAACACCGACTTGTTCTTTGCCGAATCGCTCGGAGCGTCTTGGAGTCGTCGACGTCGCGACGCTAATGTCCTCCAGCGGGCGAGAGTCTCTTGTTTCGCGCCGCCGCGCCCCCAACCGGAAACAATGGCGTCCGTCCTTCCGCCAATCGGCTTTCGCTCGTCTCACCTCCGCCCCGCCCCCCGCAACGACACCACCTTTTAACCGAACCGAACCGCGTCTTAACCGGTCGCCAATTGCGCGATCTGCGATCGATAGCAATTGTTTCCGGGCGATATCGAAGAAATCGCGGAAGAAAGCGAAGATTGCCCCCTCCTTGGGGCGGGGCTACAAGCCACGCCCTCCTCACGCAGATCAACTCATCCTTGAACGGGTGAAGCCAGTCTTCGCCCTCGCATGCTGACGTTTAGAGGCTTCAAGCGCGGCGGTTCGAACACGTGACCATTAAACGCGAGTGTAGCGACGAGTGAGTGAACGGTGACATGTCGAGGTATTTGACGATAAGGTAAGGGCTGTCGAGGGCACTCGCCGAGCAATCATGTATGCGTTTTTGCGGCTAACGAAGGGAAGGATCAAAGAGAGATTTGTTAATGCCGACGGTTTAGATGCAGAAAGACGAGGTCTTTGACAAATTGTAGCGAGTCAAAAGGTTAGAGGTTTAGAAAACGCGGACGAATGAAAGGAACCGACGGCACAAACGACGCTTCAAGAGCCGATAAGAGTCTAATAACGAGCAAAGTTAATGAGTTTAACGATTTTTTTAGTGGATATATACACAAGCTAAAAAGGGTGACATTTGAAATTAAAAGTGAAAAGAAAAACCTCACAGTTTTTAATTTTTAAACACCCAGTATATGTTTCTGGAAAAATAAATTACAAAGTGCCAAAATGATAAAAAAATTCTAAAAAAAGTTAAATACCTTTTAATTTTAATTAATTGCTGAGGGATTATCTTATCTGCCGATTGATTGATTGCAAAGTTGTCAACAAAGATTTGTCTAAATTCCATTTGTTGGTGAAAAATGTTACAGATTTATTATTTTTAATCCTTGTTTAGTATAGATTTATAAGTATTCTGCTTCAGCGACTCATTATTTTAATTATAGACAGCCTATAATTATCAGGCCTGCTTAAAAAAAGGTAATAACAAAATTTTCTAAATAAAGAAATAATAAAGTATTTTTTTATCAAGTATTGTTCAAAATTTTGCAATGTGTAGGTTTAGCCAAATTAATAAAATTCAAAAACTAAAAGTCTAACAAGTGAAGCTTATACAATTTATAAATTAAATCTGATCTCTATGTTTGATGTAATTGAATTCAAAAACAGGCACTTTGAAAGTTGTAAAATCATTGATTGTATTCAAGAGCGAAAAATGGATTCCAAATAATATAATAGCTACAATAACACCTCGTGTAACAACATTGTTTTTTGTCTTTATTTTCAAATATTTTCCAAAATGAAGAAACTGTAAACATTTAAGAGAAAATCCTTTAATGGATTTTTATCAATTTATAACTGATGAGTATTTACAAAATAAAACATCTAAAAGGCTAAAAAATAAAGTTTAAACAGGATTAATATTCTAATTTTGAAAATTTTCAGAACCACAATGACGTTTGGGGATAAATACATAAATCTGATTAAGTCAATATTAATTTTATAGAAAATCTGAAAACAATTTTGCATCATCATGAAGTTATACTTTAAACAGTAACAGTGTTTTATCTTAAACTGAAGATGGTTTAAAATACCTAATCAAACTTTAAATTTCAAAAATATGTTTATTGAATTTTTTTGATTTTTAAGTAAAAAAAATGCTAGCTTGTTTCAGCAAATCTTTCAATAACCGAAATCAAAGTTTGCTTTAGATTTATTTATCAACAACTATATTTTTTGATCGAAAGAGTCATTAAAACTTAAATATTGGAGTTCTAAGAAAAAGTTGTAAAAGTTTGTTTCACTTGACAAAAAATAGGGCTAAAAGAAAAGCTCGTTTTCTGTAGACTTCAAGAGACGACATTCTTGTGTACCCAATATCAAGTTTTTTGGACAAAACCCAAAACTTCAAAATTTATATTCTTATTTAGAGAAGATTCCTTAATCCAGTTGAATTGTTATAGTTAAACATTAACACGATACAAGAATTTTTCCCCACAAACCTGTTTTGAGATGTCATTTCAAATATTTTCCAAATCATTGATTTTTAAAACTACTCCTCAAACACACATTTCTTATAACATCTTAGTAATTAATACCTACTAGCAACATGCAGACAGGAAAATTTCATTGTACTATAATAGACAATACACTTTTAAATTTCAACATATTCATTAGAAAAAAATAAATATTTTTTGTACAGACAATTTTATTGTATTTAAAAACAACTTGAAAATCCAAGTACTCTTTAAAATATCCTGGAATAAATTTTTTCGTGTACAGTATTTTGAAAGTTTTTTCCCCGTTGGCCGCCAAAACCTCTTTGATCAGTCGCTTCGTCACGTTTGTGTATCCGCAATCAGCAGCACTCCTCCTCCACCATCGAATTTGTCTTAATTTAAGTGCGGTGGTAAGCAGCCCCCCGTCGCGAACAATAGCCACACCATGTCACAAAGTTGTGCTACTCACGTTCATCCATCACTCGAAAGAGATGTTAACCTTCGTCGTAACCTTTATTGAATCGAAGTAACGAAACGAATCGATAGATTTTGTCTTTTGGCAGGTGCTTGTAAGCGAGGTGCATCCTGGGAGCGACCTCAGGACCCGTCCCGACTCCGGGCGGGTTTTCTCCACTCATCTCAAAGACGCTCTCGCTGAGGGATTCGACGTGTGCTGAGGCTTTGTGGAAGATGCCCCATAAAGGTGGGTCGATTTTTGCAATTATGTGAACGCGTGTGTGCTCCCCCTTCGATCGCGGCGGCAGCGAGCCCTCGTTGCGGTCTTTAATCAAGCTGCAATTAACTCGAGGTTTTTTCGACTTCGTCCCGCTCTTGTAATGATCGAGTTAATATACAGGACGTGTCATAGACTTGCAAATCCCGGATGGGGGTAGGGATTGGATGGACCACCGATGAATCAACGCGATTTTACATTTGAAAAAATTATCCGAATGCGATGAAAACATCGACAAAAATGTTGGAAAAGGCGGTTTTGCTTCACGTAATACTTATCAAGTGTTTTACAATCATAAGGGTCATAAGGGTGCACATGTTTTAGAGTGAGGAGGGGGGGCAACAAATATGTCATAAATAATGTAGTAATTCAAAACACGTTGTTCTAATTTATTTTCTACACCAAGAAGATCTAACAAGAAGATAGTAGTAATTGTTGAATTAAGTATAATTACTAACAGTGATAGACCATATACACAAATATTTTTAAACCTTAAACAGACAGAAACAAAGTAAAGAAACTTAAAATTTAAAAAGTATAAACATCCGTCATTAGGAACGGCCTTGCTTTCCTTGGCACGCCTACGTTATTTTATTTATAAATTTACTAAATTGTCCAAACTCTCGTAAATTCTTCATATAATAAATATTTAACAATTTCGAAAGGCCTTTCTGCATTTAAAACGGTAAAGTAAATTTTAAAAAATATGAGAGTAAAACTGAATAAATCAAAGTTTTAACAAAAAAATACAATAAATGAAGTGATATTTAATCTAAGGTACAACCTAACTCTGAGGGGACTGATAACTGATGTGAGGAGTCTCTTGCCTTAAAATTTTAGTAAATAAAGATGAAATTGAATGTTTCACGCTTTTGCAATTTTAAAGACAAGAATTTTTCACCTAAAACGTTCAAACGAGAGAAACTCATTTTGTTTATTAAATCAAATACCTACATACATTACTCTAAATAACTACAAAACAAAAAACAGCATTATTCCAACAAAAGAAAACTTTTAATTTTCCCCAAAAACAAATATAATTTATGCTTTTTATGTCGTAAATAATTTAAAAAGGATCTGTCAAGAATAAAACAAACACAAAAAATGTAAATTTTTGATATATTATTTTCTATTGAAAGAAAAAAAAATGGAATCCTTGCCTCTGCATCCTAATTCGGTTCATTTCTTGTTCCACATTTGACAAAAATTTACGAAAAAGAAAAAAGATTTCGTTTAAAATTCAATTCATATCTTACGGATTTGAAAAAAATCCGCAAAAGTCGAGTGCTTAAAAACAGGCTTAGAATAACTGAGGAGCAGACTTTCAAAATGCAGTTTGTCCATTTTTATGAGTTGAGATAAAGGTGGTTCTGCAGGCTACATCAATTGTCTTTCCAATGAACCTTACTGGAGGTTCAAATCGCATTTTGTCTTATGTTAAAATAGTATATTACATAACGAGCATGGAAAGTGATAAATAACGCACAAGCGGGAAAGTTGCGCACGAGGCGTTAGCCGAGTGCAGGCAATCCCGTGAGTGCGTTCCTGCAAGTTTTGTACACTATTTTTCCTACAACCATAGATAATTTTTTTCTTACGAACATATTTTTTATAACGATTTATTTTTTATAATGGATACAAAAATAGGTACGTTGAATAACGATTTATTTTTTATAATGGATACAAAAAAAATACGTTAAATGAAAAAATACAAAACATTTAAGTGTGAATTGTGCGTTAGATTTCTAACACACAGCGCAAAAACAAATCGCACAGGTTTCTGACCTCGTAGGATATTGCCAATTTTCGCGCATATGTAATTGTGCGTTATGATCTAGTTTCGTATATGGTCGTAGGAGAAAATATTGAAAGTTGCCTGAACATTCAAACTGCACTTAGTCATGTGTTGGTTCAAACCAAACGCGTTTTGTCCGTCAATTTTGGACTAAATGCAGTTTGTTTGACAGTTGATGCACTGCAATACCTACTTAAAAAAATAACAGAAATAAACGCTGCCAAAAGAATTTTTACTCAAAAAAAGTCACACCAAAAGTACTCATTAAAACCGATGAAGAATGCGCATGAGGAAAAGGTGCAAATTTGTTTATTAAAGGATATATAAATACCAAAATAAAGTTTTTTGATCTTTAAATAGCATTAAGTCTCCCTTTAACAATCAAACTGAATTATGTCCAAGACATATTCGTTATTAGTGTTTTTTTCGTAAAATGCCTAAGTATACTCTAGCCGTAAAATTAGTGTACAATTTGTACATATTTTTGCACATTTATTGACACTGGTATAAAACATTAAAATTATTTCTTACAAGAAGGACAGTTTTTGCCCTCTCCTTATTTGAGAATAAAAATAATACAAAATTAAAATTCTAGCTAAAAATTAAGAAAAAAAAATCTTGATCTAGGGTAATTTCAGAATCCTCTTTTGAAGTTAAAACTAGAACACATCTATAGATGAAAGTAAGTTTTTCCTCCAGGTATAAACAAACAACATTCAAAGTAAGGATTTTTCACGTGAAATATTGGAATGTCAGAAACTTTCTAATCAAAATATCAAACAAAAAATAACTGTATTTTTTCACCAAAAAAAAACTATTGTTTCAATTCAGTTAAAAGTAAATCACGTTCAAATTTTTTGGTCATAATTAATTCAGAAATGTGTTCAAAAGTGAAATAGCTATGGTATATCTAGAATTCTGTATAATCTTACGATGTTTGCAATGTTGCAACACTGATAAATTTTCTCCGGAGACAAGAAATGGTACCCTACAGATTCAATAAAGTTTGTTTCATTATATTATGTTAAAATTTTCGAATAATCACTAAAAACTAAGTTCTCGTTCTCGTCTCTCCGTATGATCCGCGTCATAACTTTCTTCATTGTTGAGACAGTATTTTTCTTTCCATCGACCCACTTTTCCCACATTTAACAGTTTCTTGTAAAAATCATTGAAATTCGAATCAGTTTAATTCATGTCTGGCCTTGTTCGCCCTTCTGTCACCATCTTGGCTAAAGAGTTTCCCTCGTCGGGCGTTTCACGTCTCGGTACGTCCTCAATTCGCCATGTAATGCTAAGGCTAATGCAATTTGAACGCGAGTGTCGCGAACTCCGAGTCAACAAAGCGCCGCCATTTTCGCCGGATTCCTCCGGGACGCCGAAGCCCTAATGGCTTCAGCTAAGTGCGTTTTAATCCGTGCATTAGCATGGGCAAAAATCGAGCGATTATTAGCGATTAAATTCTATTCTAGTTGGGCTTTTTCCAGAAGAGGACCTCATGCATCACGCTTCTATGGGACAGAATACAATTTTCGGCTGCTCGACGGCGGGACATAGCGGCATCAACCAGCTAGGGGGAGTGTATGTAAACGGGAGACCTTTGCCCGACTCTACGAGACAGAAAATTGTAGAGCTGGCTCATTCGGGGGCCAGGCCTTGTGACATCTCGCGGATTCTGCAGGTGTCCAATGGATGCGTGTCTAAGATACTGGGGAGGTAATTGCTCTTTTGACCTAATGGGCTTTTCCCGAAAAGCAACTAGAATTTACTGAAAAGTCTAAAAAAATCCTAAATCTTAGTTAATATTAAATATAGATATTAATAATTACGTCCTCCAGAAGTTTTTAAAAAGATGTATCAATTTTAATTCTTAATTTTCTAATACATACAACAGTAAAAAATTCTTGTTTTATACATTTCTCTAGAAATTTTAGTAAGAAAATTAATGAAATATGTTGCACAAAAAGTGTCTGCAGTCCTTTTTCGAAATTTGCTAAGATGAGAGAAGATGACTTTTAAGTTTGTTCCCCAGATACTACGAGACCGGATCTATCAAACCTCGTGCCATCGGCGGTTCCAAGCCCAGAGTGGCCACCCAGCCGGTGGTCAATAAAATCGCCGAATTCAAACGCGAATGTCCCTCGATATTCGCTTGGGAGATCCGCGATCGACTTCTCTCCGAAGGTGTTTGCAACAACGACAACATTCCCAGCGTGAGTACCCCTCTATTTAATAAATCATTAAACACAGTCTTGCCCCCGAGGCAAACACTCGTTGCTTGTGTAACATGGCGTATGTCAACGCTGTGCAAACTCTATTAGTGACAAGATCTCGCTCTATTTACCCAACGCCGGCGGAATCTCAGGTAGAGAGAGTACAAAAGACCCGCCGAATTCATCAAAACGATACTCGAAACAGTAATAGCTTAGTTTCATGTGCGTATTGTGCCGACGACAAATGTTCGTGTCGTCACTTTGACGAGATTTATGTTGTGTACAGAAAGGCACTTTTGTCGCCGAAATTGCTACGAGGAGACGGACAAAGCGCTGAGGGACCGGACTCTTGAACGGACGACATATGAAAAGATGCACGGCTTATAAACTCCAACAAATAAGGCACACAATGGCGACAAATATGCCAAAAAATTCGAGTGGTTGGGAGAAATTGCGGACTGATGTTTGTAACGGTTAAGAGCAAAAAAATATTACAAAGCAATAAAAAAAACTTTTTTTCTGAAAATATGTAATTATTTCAGTCGAAAATTTAATTTAGATCTTTAAAAATTTATACTTTTTTCATGCGTGTTTTTTCTTAAAGAAAGTTGTGCAACTTTCAACTGAGGAGAAACTTGAAAAAAAAAAAAGGTTAATGTGTAGGTATATTATTGACAATAAAAAGAAAATATGTATAAAATGAAATATTATAGTCAACATTTAAGATTAGAAAAAGTATAATAAACTCGTGAGAAATGGTAATTTCCACTCCGATAAATTTCTTTACTCGCTTTCGGCTCGTATTGTAAATTTTTTCTTCGTGTAAATGGCCAACTTTCTCACTCGTTGAATAACATACTACACTACTCCAAAAAATTAAAGGAACAAAAAATTTACCAAAATTTTTGGTGTTTTTTGAAAGGCTGTAACTCATCGAAAAAAGGGTCGTTTCTAGATTAAAAAAAAAATATTTTGAAGCTTTAAGTTTCTAGTTTTGAGATCTTTTGGCAAATTTTTTTCTGTGCTACGGTTATCACGTAATCCTAAGTAATAGCGAGAGAAAAAAAATCTATTTTTTTTATTTTTGCTTTTAGTCCACGGACGTGGGAATTTTTTTTTTAGTAAAGCAATGCATAGGCCGGTTAGCCTATCTAAAAACATTATAGTCTCCTCATCAATATTAGTGAATACGCGGTAGATTTACTAAAACAACGCAAAAAGTTACTTTTCTCTCTTTTCCTTAAATCAATGTTGAGAGTGGAATTTTTTTTTCAAAAAGTTATAAAAGGATCTTGTAAGACGTTTATTCCAGTTTTTGACACTGCCCTTATATTCTCTGTGTGGTCATTGGTTCCTGAGATATCGATGATCAAAGATAAAAGGATCCTTTTTCATTAAAAGTCAGATATCTCAGCGACAAATTGACGTAAAGAGAATATGAAAAAAGCATGTTAAAGATGAATGAACAGGCTATCCGGCCTATGCATTGACTTACCTAACTAAAAAATAAATCCCCACGTCCGTGAACCAAAAGCAAAAACAACCGTACCACAAAAAAATTTTTGCCAAAAGATCTCAAAACCGCAAACTTAAAGCAAAAAGTTTTTTATTTTAAATCCAGATACAACCATTTTTTCATGAGTTACAGTTCAAAAATCACAGGAAAATTTTTTGTTCCTTTAATTTTTTGAAGTAGTGTAATATAAGGTCCAATTTCATAATCGAACTTAAAGGAGTTACTTTAAAGTCCTTTTAATTTGGTAAGAAACTGCCTTAATTACATAAAATACTCTTATCTTGGCATTTTGTCGTTGTTTTGCCAAATTTTTTTATAACAATTTCTGAATTTAGCAAAATTTCTGATCCAATAGTGACCCTAACGGTTGCTCAAATTTAAATAAGACATCGATTTAAACTGTCTATAAAACTCTTGTTGTCTTAATAGCTATTATTACTGAATCTGCTAAACAACCTGAAAAACTATGTATTTTCAAATCTCGATTTATAGGTAGGTTTTTGCTTTTGGCGTAACACATTTTCAATCATGATTTTAATCATAGGTAGGTACACAAACAGGATTTGAATCGTTTAACTGGATATCATTTTTCAAATTAGGTATTTAGCCAGAAACATATCCAACCATGCAAATGTCAGTTTTTTCAAAAAAATAACGTCTTTTTCGTACATTATTTGGCTACTTTAAATAGAAATAAATTATACGAAAACGGGATTACTTGCTCAGATAAGAGGTGCTCCTTGACAACTTTTTAATACCTACTAAAGATTCAAATCGTTCGTCGAGACTGCCCAGTTCAGAGTGCAGTTTTTCTCTCCTTGTGCAAAATAAAACAAAATTGTTTAAATCATGTTTAATTTTTGTAACAAAATGAAATGGAGGTAAATTTGGATCAGTCCCAAGCCCTATTTTGATCCCATTTCCCCGTCCCCAATTCCCTTAATCCGACACTTTCCAGTAAAAAATCATCATCCGCCCATCGATAAACCCCGAAACGTCTCCCAATTAATTTAATTTCGCCCCGTACACGTCACTAATCCTCAATTATGGCAATTTCATTTAAAGGATTAATGTTGGTCGTGCGTTTCGTCCATATTCCGGCGACACTCCAGGAATGCTATCGACCCCTTTAATTATATGCCTACTATCATCTTCGAAGCAATGGCGACCCACCTGAACCATGCCTCTCTTATCATAAAAATAAACGAGTCCATCTGTCCAATAGCAGACCGGAAATGCCGCCATTTTCTATCCCCCTGTCCGAGCGCATCCCTCTTTTTAATCTATATAAGGCGCTGACAGCAATTCCGACTGGTCCCTTTTGATGCTTTCACGCAATGCGTATCATAGTTACTATCGATGAGCAGACATACGCACGCGCCAAATTACCACACTTTAACAGATTTATCATCTTGCACACACGGCCAACACGCACGGATATCTCAGGGCCGAAATTAAACAATTTCCGCACAAAAAAGGGCACCGAAAGACCATCACAACTTCAACTACTGTGTTTCAAATGTTACAAAACCATCATCAAAATGCAAAGAGAGACTCTAAAGCGCCCCTCTTGGGCAAATGATTCACAAATTTCGAAAATGTTGATCTATCTGTCTTTACTTGCTTTGTTTTACATTTTATGAAGGCTTTGTTAAAAATTAATCCTGTTCTATTTTACTAATTCTGCCCTTCTTACGTGGTTTTTACTTTTATAACAAACCACTTTAATTCTTCCGTTTCTTTGTTTGTCAGAATTTTTGGCATAACTCCAAGTTTTCGTGGAAATTATTTCAGCACTGAAATTGTAAGGAACGAGAAGAAAAGGTCGAGTTTGAAGTTATGTTTACGTCCAGCAAAATCTATTATGATTTAGTTTCACAGGGAATGGACTGGGAAAATTGATTAACAGTAGTCAGCTAATGTTTCGGTTTATTACTCAAACCTTCTTCAGAGCATCATGTTTCAATATTATGCTATTAAATCTTCTCAAATGGAAAATGATGTCGCGCGCATCATTTTAATTTTTACTCAATTTTATCGCAATATGTAGTTTAATTGAAGAGAAAATATGCTTTGGGAAGACTTACATTCATACCAGGTGAATAAAAAGTATGGAATCAAAAGTTTTTTACTTCAAATTTTTATTTTTTGAAAAAAACTAATTGATGAGTGATAAAGTACTATAAAAATGTAATTATTAAAGAAGAATAAAATTTTTCGAAATTTCCTGTTGTGTTT